GAGTATAAAAGATATCTAAAATATTTAAATTTTTTAATTTTCTTTTTTTAGAAACAACACTTATGACTAAAATATGATAATATTTATCAAGTAACAAATTATACAACTGAAGTAAAACATTTTTGTATTTATTTTTATGTTCATACAATAAGAAATTGTCTTGATATAACTGCAATATATTTATTAAATTTCTATATTTTTTAATTTGACCTATGGACGAAATAATCTAAACCACTGTACGTACATATGTACATATTAGTCATTAGCATCACCGGCCGACTTTGATATATGTATGTAAACATTTTCAGGATATTAAGATATCAACGTAAGACCGTTTTGCCGTGTATCTTTCCCGTTACTTATTGGTCTGGAGTGCAAAGTGAGCTGGAAGTCGGTACACCCATATATGTATCGTTTTTCAACTACTGGGGACTGCTGCACCCTCTTGTACATCACATCTATCTAAAACACAAGCAATTAATATGAGCCACACAACACACACCACACAGCACACACAAACTTTAGGCTAAGCCCTTTTTGCCAAACGAGCCGAACACAATTTCATTCGGTTCTTTACTTCATACATACACCACGACCCGAAGAGTCATCATATCATCATCTTCATCATCATCATCATGATGTCTCATGCGGGATAAATACTGGGATTGGATTCACAAGTTTCTGGGCTGTGTTCTGTTCGGTTCTGTTCCTTTGACAATGAATCATTAGCACAGCCAGTTCTTTTCTTTTTCATATTCGGAACTCCCCAAGAAACAAAAACCATCTACACTACACAGAACATTTATCGGGCAATGCGCGTGTGTAAATATATACGCAGATATGTACATTACATTGTATTGGAACACCAAACTAAAACAACAAAGCTCGTTGCTGGCAACCTTTATTTATTATTAGCTTATTTTATATTATTCATAACAATATCATTTTTACAACAAACTAAAATTTCTTCCGTACCGATAGCCACAACCCGATAGAATTCAATTGCTAGTGATGTACAAAAACCATCGATGCATTACGCATCGATATTTTTTGCGATATTTGACGATGTCTCTGTTTTCACATTTTGGCCGCTTTGGCGCTTTGGCGCTTTATAATACCTTGGTTCCATTGCAATATTAAAATACACACACTACACATTACGTTTCCTAATTAGCCATCTGAATACCTTATATACGAGTTTTAAGAAATACGTTGATTGATATCTCTTCAAAAACTGTCGAAATATTGATCAAATGTTGAGCATAATGAGTCGTAAGCAATATGTTCCAAAATTTGCCAATAGAATCAGGCTATAAGTTCACGTCAGATATGGAACGTTAAATGTAAAACAAATAAACACTCCAGAACTGTCAAAACTTCTTAAAAATATCATTTTAAAAGGTAAAACAAAACTAAGAAATAATTATTATTCATTTTTTTCAGTAGTTTCATACAAGGAAAAGGCTCAGCTAAATTAAGGCGTACAGCTAAAAGACCGACTGTTTTGAGCAGCTTGCTTAGTATGCTAACGATCCTTATCACTTTTAGGAAAATTTATTTTTTGACCAAATTTCGCATTTTTTCGCATTTTCACTTTTTTTGCAAAAATGTGAAAAAAATTAAATTTGGAGGTTTGACTGCCAATCGATTGGAAATTAAACAACGAGCTCAACGAGGTATGACATTCCTCATTCTGACTTTTATTTTTCTTTTGGCAGCCAAAAAACTGAACTTTTTTGGAAAAAAATGGAGTTCAGATTTTTGTCAAAAATACGAGATTCAGATTTTAGTAAAAAATTCGACATTTTTTTTCGGTTTTTTCATCGTAGTTTAGCCAAATCAAGGCGTACAGCTAAAAGACCGACTGTTTTGAGCACCTCGCTAGATATGCTAACGATCCCTATCACTTCAAGGGAAATTTATTTTTTGACCACTTCTTCCATTTTTTGTAAGGGGGTACAACATCTATTTTTGCGAAAAATGGAAAAATAAAAAATTTTCAGGTTTGAATGCCAATCGATCGGAAATTAAGCAACGAGCTCAACGAGATATGACATTCCTCATTCTGACTATTATTTTTATTTTAGCAGCCAAAAAACTGAATTTTTATGGCAAAAAATAGGGTTACCATTTTGGTGAAAAATGCTAGATTCAGATTTTTGTCAAAAATGCGATATTTTTTTTCGGTTTTTCAATCGTAGTTTAGCCAAATCAAGGCGTACAGCTAAAAGACCGACTGTTTTGAGCAGCTTGCTTAATATGCTAACGATCCTTATCACTTTTAGGAATATTTATTTTTTGACCAAATTTCGCATTTTTTTTAAGGGGTTACATCACTTTTTTTGCGAAAAATGGCAAAAATAAAAAAATTCGAGGTTAGAATGCCATTGGATTGGAAATTAAACTACGAGCTCAACGAGGTATGACATTCCTCATTCTGACCTATATTTTTGTTACGGCAGCCAGAAAACGGAATTTTTATGGCGAAAAAAGGGTTCAAATTTTTGTCAAAAATACGAAATTCAGATTTGTATCAAAAATGCGACATTTTTGTTCGGTTTTTCCATCGTAGTTAAGCCAAATTAAGGCGTACAGCTAAAAGACCGACTGTTTTGAGCAACTTGCTTAATATGCTAACGATCCTCATCACTTTTAGAAATATTTATTTTTTGACCAAGTTTCGCATTTTTTGTAAGGGGTTCCATCACTTTTTTTGCGAAAAATGGCAAAAATAAAAAATTTTCAGTTTAGAATGCCATTGGATTGGAAATTAAACTACGAGCTCAACGAGGTATGACATTCCTCATTCTGACTTATTATACCCGTTACTCGTAGAGTAAAAGGGTATACTAGATTCGTCGGAAAGTATGTAACAGGCAGAAGGAAGCGTTTCCGACCCCATAAAGTATATATATTCTTGATCAGGATCACTAGCCGAGTCGATCTAGCCATGTCCGTCTGTCCGTCTGTCCGTCTGTCTGTCCGTCCGGATGAACGCTGAGATCTCGGAAACTATGGGAGCTAGGCTATTGAGATTTGGCGTGCAGATTCCTGAGCTTCTTACGCAGCGCAAGTTTGTTTCAGCAATGTGCCACGCCCACTCCAACGCCCACAAACCGCCCAAAACTGTGGCTCCTACAGTTTTGATGCTAGAATAAAAATTTTTACTGAAATGTATTGTTCTCATCAATACCTATCGATTGACTCAAAAAAAGTTTGCCACGCCCACTTTAACGCCCACAAACCGCAAAAACCTGTGGCGCCCACAATTTTCATGCTAGATAAAAAATTTTAACTGAAATGTATTGGTCTCGTCGATACCTATCGATTGATCCAAATCGCCCACTCTAACGCTCATAACGCTTAAATCTGTATACCGCCGGTAGGTGGCGCATTTTAATCTCGCTTTGCTGCTTGCATATCTCCATTTAGCTGAGTAACGGGTATCTGATAGTCGAGGTACTCGACTATAGCGTTCTTCCTTGTATTTTTGTTATGGCAGCCAAAAAACGGAATTTTTAGGCCGAAAAAGTGGGTAAGATTTTTGTCAAAAATACGAGATTCAGATTTTAGTCAAAATTGCGACATTTTTGTTCTGTTTTTCCATCGTAGTTCAGTCAAATTAAGGCGTACAGCTAAAAGACCGACTGTTTTGAGCAGCTTGCTTAATATGCCAACGATCCTCATCACTTTTAGGAATATTTATTTTTTGACCAAGTTTCGCATTTTTTGTAAGGGGTTACATCACTTTTTTTGCGAAAAATGGCAAAAATAAAAAATTTCCAGGTTAGAATGCCATTGGATTGCAAATTAAACTACGAGCTCAACGAGGTATGACATTCCTCATTCTGACTTATATTTTTGTTATGGCAGCCAAAAAACGGAATTTTTATGGCGAAAAATGGGTTCAAGCTTTTGTCAAAAATACAAAATTCAGATTTTTGTCAAAAACGCGACATTTTTTTTCGGTTTTTTCATCGTAGCTCAGCTAAATTAAGGCGTACAGCTAAAATACCGACTGTTTTAAGCAGCTTGCTTAATATGCTAACGATCCTCATCATTTTTAGGAATATTTATTTTTTGACCAATTTTCGCATTTTTTGTTACATCACTTTTTTTTGCGAAAAATGGCAAAAATAAAAAATTTCTAGGTTAGAATGCCATTGGATTGCAAGTTAAACTACGAGCTCAACGAGGTATGACATTCCTCATTCTGACTTATATTTTTGTTATGGCAGCCAAAAAACGGAATTTTTATGGCGAAAAATGGGTTCAAGCTTTTGTCAAAAATACAAAATTCAGATTTTTGTCAAAAACGCGACATTTTTTTTCGGTTTTTTCATCGTAGCTCAGCTAAATTAAGGCGTACAGCTAAAATACCGACTGTTTTAAGCAGCTTGCTTAATATGCTAACGATCCTCATCATTTTTAGGAATATTTATTTTTTGACCAATTTTCGCATTTTTTGTTACATCACTTTTTTTTGCGAAAAATGGCAAAAATAAAAAATTTCTAGGTTAGAATGCCATTGGATTGCAAGTTAAACTACGAGCTCAACGAGGTATGACATTCCTCATTCTGACTTATATTTTTGTTATGGCAGCCAAAAAACGGAATTTTTATGGCGAAAAATGGGTTCAAGTTTTTGTCATAAATACAAAATTCAGATTTTTGTCAAAAACGCGACATTTTTTTTCGGTTTTTTCATCGAAGCGCAGCTAAATCAAGGCGTACAGCTAAAAGACCGACTGTTTTAAGCAGCTTGCTTAATATGCTAACGATCCTCATTACTTTTAGGCATATTTATTTTTTGACCAATTTTCGCATTTTTTGTAAGGGGTTACATCACTTTTTTTGCGAAAAATGGCAAAAATAAAAAATTTCCAGTTTAGAATCGGTGTAATCACCTTAATCCGATTAAAAGTTATCGTGACTAGTGAGACCAGATTTGTTTTTGATTTTGTGCGGCAAACACAAGTATGGAGTTGTCATTGGGAAATATGTCATACCATCATTTAAACACAAATAATCAAAAACATTGACATTTGTGGGTTTTAGTACAACAACCAACGAGAGATACAACAGTAAACATAAGATAAACAGATAGTTTTTACATGGATATTGCAAAAACAAACCAATTAAATATAAGTTAGGCCACCATGTCGAAGCGTCAACGCGATGGGCTTGATGCCCCGGCAAAAAAGGCGGCTAAGAATCGGTTCAAAAAGCTCGTCCGAACCGTAATACTGAACATGCAGTGGCTAAATGAAGCCACCGAGGAGACTGGAATTTCGCTGAATGTGAAGAAGAATGTGGCCATGTTGGTGCGACAGAAGCGTAAAGTCGGCATGATGACCATGGCCGTAAGTCCTAATACTCTATTTAAGAAAGGTGTATTTATAAAACGTTATTTCATACAAATTTCAGGAGAAATCGCTACTGCGCACTCCACATTCTACGCGTACCGTCGAGGACAGAAAGAAGCTGTGCACCATTGTGGCAAATCTGGCGTGCTTTTCAAAATTTACACCAGTGGGTAGTCCTTTTTGGTTTATTTTGATTGCATGTTGTTTATAAGGCCTATTCTGTTGCAGAAAGTCCGGGCTCGTCTTGTTCCGCATGTCAAATTCATGGCGGTGACTCCCGGACGCGTTATTATGAAGGAGGGGGATTTCCCTGTAACGATTTATTTTATAATCGCTGGAGAAGTGGAAATGTCTAGGAATGTTTTAAATAAGGTAAGCTGTTTGAATAGTTCCATAATCTTTTTTATCTATAAAAAAAAAACATTTACATAGGACCCCTTAAAAAAATACATAAATATTTTTAAAAACAATTTCTTAACTTGTTTCTTCTCTTTTCTAGATAAACGAAGGCTGTTAAATGCTTTTTAATTTGGTTGTTGAAATATATTACCTTTTATGATACAAAAAACTAATGTTTTTATATAAAAATAACTAAAGTTTCGTATTTTATAGGCCACCAAGACTTATGAACTGCAATCAGAGGCTATTTTTGGACCCGGCGATTGTATTGGCGACATCGACGTCATGGAAGACGCACCCAGAACCAACACATACATCGCCACAAGTTAAACTGATTGCCTTTTACAAGGAATATATATGTAATTCCTATATATTTCTTACAGCTAACTGCGAGCTACTGGCAGTCTTTAATAAGAACTATAAAGTGGTCCTGCAACCTCACATGCAAAAGCTGTGGCAGGAAAAGAAGTCTGCCCTGCGGGCTCTTGACTATTTTAACTTTCTAAACGAGGAGCAAGTAAGTGCCTTACTTACATCTTGGTCTATATTATAACCCCCTAAACATTTCGCTAGATTGTGAATGCCAGCAAGTATGGAACCATTCAGCAGTTCGACCCCTTGGAGACGATCTACACCGAGGATTTGGGCTCCATGAGCTATGTCTACTTTGTTCTCAGCGGCGAATGTGTCGTTTTACAGTGCCTTCACATGAAGGTGTTTTACCTGATCATCTCCTATATAATCTTCTATATAATTAAAATACAATATGTTTCTTCTTTCTCTACAGGTGAATATGGTTGACAGGGAGAAGGTATTCGAGCTGGCAACTGTAACTAAAAAGGAGTCCGGAGCCCTCGGGATGCAAGTTGGCTCCAAGTTCAATGCCAACAACGACTTTTTCGACGTCAATGAATATATGCAGTCCAGTTCATCGCTAGATGAGAACAACCAAAGCAAGAAAAGGGGAGTAAGTGTTTAAAAGTATGGATATATGTGAACCCTATATCACATTTTGTAATACAAATTTTAAAACTATTTGGGTACCTCAAATGTATCACAACCACTGATTTACTGTTTAAAACATTAGATTCATCGATTATATTACATACATCGAATATAACCGAATAAAAGCTTCACCTTGTAATATTATCGATTTTATTGTAATTTTTAGTTAATTTAGTAAAATAACTAACCATAATATATTGAAGTTTATTATAAACACCTTTAGCAAAGCATTATAATTTATAACTCAATATTTATAGTACTCAAATTTGGTAGGTTTATGGGTCTGGATAAGAAATACTCATCCCACAACCAGTAGATACTAAATAGCCTTAGAGTATTGACTGCTAATGACATACTTGTTTTTTTTAAGCTGCGAAAAATGGGTCTCAAGGAGATACAGCGAGCCTGCGCTGAGATGAAAAGACCGCCACCTAGAAGATCCACCAGGGATACATGTCGAAATCGGCAACGGTTGCGACAGCGAATGCGGGAGGCAGAACGCCAGGAAGTGCGGGAGGAGTACGAGCTGTACATATCAGACGAAGGCGAGGACACCTACGACATGTCTGAGGATCCGGCCGAGGAACGGTATAGTGATAACTCCGGCAAACGATCGCCCATCTCACCCGTCATCAGCGAGGTGGGCGATGTTGAGAGCGAGTCGGAGGGTTCGGAGATATTCACCGCCTCGAGCCATTCGCATCGAACCATTGTCGAGGAATCGGAAGGCATGGAGCACTATGAAACGCATTTCATTGACGTTGGCTCACTGACCTATGGCGGGATCTTTGGTTTGGGCGAGAAAATGCATCATCGCGTAATAATGGCGAGGACAACGGTGCAGTGCATCCTAATACCACGGTTTTGGCTTTTTGAGCCAGCCCAAAATCCTGGCAACATTTGGCAGCGACAGCGTTTCTATATCGAATGTAATATCCCAACTAGGGAGGCTTTGTACACGGACTTTCTCAAGACACGAAAGTGGGAGAAGTTCAGACGTGACTATATTGAAAACATACTAAATGCTGATTCCTTGGCCAACTTTACGAAGGTCGAAGATATTCCCATCATAAGCCGCATTGTGGAGACAAAAGCTGACGAAGCTTCAGTTTGACATCAATTTACTTGCTGTTCTATTTATACATTTGCAAGTTTCCAGCATTATTAAATCATTAGTATTGCTTTCAAAATTCCTTGGGGCCTTGACAGCGAGGTAAAGAATTCTTCGATTCAAATGCCTAGATATATCGCTTATTTACAAGAGCATACAATTGTGTACAGTACTTTATGTTTATAAGCCTGAAATTGAATATATGAGCACTTATGTACAATATATTAAGCTTTTGGTTGAATTTAGTTTGATGTGTGATATAAGAAATACCTATTATATTTCAGTGACAGTTAATACGTTGCGGTTAACTTAGCAAAAGGTTAAATTAATTCATTGATAATATGTTAATATTTTTGTTTCTTTTTTATGACTTTAAATATTTCTTTAATAACTTTGAAGACTACACCATGTTGACTATCTGATATATAATAAGAGCTTTCACTTTTTGACCACTTTATTGTTAGTAGGTTAGAGTTGTAACTAATTGCATTTAAGCGTCTTTTCTTAAATTATGAGGCATGGAAATTCAATTTAAAGTAATTATTTATCAATGAACCCTTCACTAATATGTCGGCTAAAACTGTTTTTACTTTTGCGACCAGTAACGCAAAAGTAAAAACCGTTTTAGCCGACATATTAAGTAAGCTTGAAAATGCAGTTGCTAATTAATTTTTGGGCTACTCTGGTCGTTGTTATTATTTTTTTTGCAGGTAAGTTAAGCTGCAATTATATTTTCTGCTTCTAAGAAAACATTACGTTTGTTTACAGGACTTACTTATAATCCAAAAAAAATACTGATAAGGGCTCAAGACTCCAATCAAAACGTAGCCTTTAACTTATATTTATATAAGCCATCGGTTTCTCATGATCGACGTTTAACATATTTTACTTATACTAAGTTTGATATTCGATTTCAAGAAATTTATCAAATTTTTAGTAATCAAACGTATCAAAAATGCACAAAAAGATACAAATATTATTTAAAATCTACGAAATCAAAGATTAGACCAGATCCCACATCTAAAAATAGTTTAAATACGCTTCCAGATTGGAACTTTGACTTATTAAGGGTAAGTTTTGGCAATTATTTTTAAAAACTTACTTAATTCTGATTTTTTAATTTGAACAGAAATATTGGAAGAACGATGTCATTAATTATATCTTTTGTAAGAGTAACCTATTCAACACCATTGATAACACAAATTTTGAAAAGGATAATTTTATAAATCAAACAAATTCGCAATCAACTCTAAATCAAAATACAGTTTCTAAAAAGGAAATTGTATGCAAACATACTGAAAAGAATTTAATTGTGTCATTATGTCGCGTTAAAAGTAAAAAAACCTTTACTCCGAGTGGTATAACCCTTAAAATTCTGCAGAGCTTATATAAACAAAAACAAATAGAGTGTTTTATACAATTCATAAGTAAGAAAAATACTTTAAAACGATGCAGTTCATTTGAATTCATAACTGAATCTTTTCAAAGCACAAGGAACTTACTTGGGAAGATCAATTTGAAGAGCAGTGCACTAAGGGTGAGTTGTTGTGAAAGTGTATTCCTTTGGATAATTGATAATATAAAAAATGTATTCTAAGGTGCAAAGCTTCTCAAGAGTGTTAAAGCGTACTAAATTATTGGACAGTGCACAAAAGATTCCAACATTTTGGCAAAACGTAAAACAATATTTTTTAAATATTTTTAATCCAATTCTGCGGCTGTTATTGTTAATTCAAAGGCGCATGATTACGCCTCAAGATGGACTCCAAAGAAACAAAATAAAAGAATCAGAATTCTTTGAATATTTGTCAGCAAGGAAAACGACCGAAACGAACGACTATTTTCACTATTTGAAAAATAACGCAAATAGAAATACAGGTTCCCATGAATCATTGCAAAGTTATAACTTTTCCCATTTAAAAAAGAAACATATCTATTTATCAAACAACATAACGAAGCCAATCATTAAAGCGGGATATTTAAATATTATGGTCTCCAAAAATATTATAAGTGCTTCACAATTACAATCAGTTACAAGTACGATAAGCCCAAAAACTAAATTATCATTACCACTTTCAGTATCAAAATGGCATCCGAGCAATACTATTGAGCCCGAACGAAACCCACTACAACGCTCAGGAACAAAACGTTACATGAGAGGAGAAAACTTAGTATTGAAAGCAAGAAACCAAATAATATTACGAGATCAGACGACGCCAATGAATAATACGGCCATGAATCTATCAACTTCGGATTCAACATCAACGTGCGAATTATGTTCAGAATTATCTTCTACCTCGGAGGAAGTTTGTATTGAATGCTCCCAATTTTCATCAATAACTTCTAGTATAGGATATCCAAACTCATCATATATGCACCAAAAAACGTCGATGGATACAACAATAAATCCAGAGTCGCCTTGCGAACTTTGTACTGAGTTAACTGGGTTAACCAGTACATATTCCTCTTCCGATGAACCCTGTGATGAATGCTCGGAATTTGTATCAATAACTTCTAGTATTCGATATCCAAACTCATCATATATGCACCAAAAAACCTCGATGGATACAACAATAATTCCAGAGTCGCCTTGCGAACTTTGTACTGAGTTAACTGGGTTAACCAGTACATATTCCTCTTCCGATGAACCCTGTGATGAATGCTCGGAATTTGTATCAATAACTTCTAGTATTCGATATCCAAACTCATCATATATGCACCAAAAAACCTCGATGGATACAACAATAATTCCAGAGTCGCCTTGCGAACTTTGTACTGAGTTAACTGGATTAACCAGTACATATTCCTCTTCCGATGAAGCCTGTGATGAATGCTCGGAATTTGTATCAACAACTTCTAGTATACGATATCCAAACTCATCATATATGCACCAAAAAACGTCGATGGATACAACAATAAATCCAGAGTCGCCTTGCGAACTTTGTACTGAGTTAACTGGGTTAACCAGTACATATTCCTCTTCCGATGAACCCTGTGATGAATGCTCGGAATTTGTATCAATAACTTCTAGTATTCGATATCCAAACTCATCATATATGCACCAAAAAACCTCGATGGATACAACAATAATTCCAGAGTCGCCTTGCGAACTTTGTACTGAGTTAACTGGATTAACCAGTACATATTCCTCTTCCGATGAAGCCTGTGATGAATGCTCGGAACTTGTATCAATAACTTCTAGTATACGATATCCAAACTCATCATATATGCACCAAAAACCTCGATGGATACAACAATAATTCCAGAGTCGCCTTGCGAACTTTGTACTGAGTTAACTGGATTAACCAGTACATATTCCTCTTCCGATGAAGCCTGTGATGAATGCTCGGAATTTGTATCAACAACTTCTAGTATACGATATCCAAACTCATCATATATGCACCAAAAAACCTCGATGGATACAACAATAATTCCAGAGTTGCCTTGCCAATTTTGTACTGAGTTAACTGGGTTAACCAGTACAAATTCATCTTCCGATGAACCCTGTGATGAATGCTCAGAATTTATATTAGTAACTTCTAGTATAGGATATCCAAACTCATCATATATACACCAAAAATCCTCGATGGATACAACAATTATTCCAGAGTCGTCTTGCGAATTTTGTACTGAGTTAAATGAAACCAGTATATATTCCACTTCCGAAAAAGCCTGTGATGAATGCTCTGAATATTTATCAACAGAGCAAGCAAAATCACTTTCTAGTACAAAACAAACGGAATTTATGACAGAAACCATATCTAAAGAAATGCCTGTAAATGCTATTAAAAATGAAACACAATATAATCAAACGGTTTTTCAATCAACGTTGCAGCGCACCACTGAGCAAAACTCAAAATCAAAAGTGGCACCTACTAAAGAATTACCATTTGATTTAAGGAGCTCTTCATTTATTGAAACAACAATCGAGGCCCCTAACATATCCAATGGTGTTACTAAAAAAGAAACGACTACTTTGACAATGCAAAATGTATTCAATTCAACTTTGGGTTGTGATTGCTCTTGTCAATTAAAACACGGCAAGGACTCATGCATCTGCAAATGTATTTCAACCAGCCGGACTTCGGAAGTCACGAAAGGTAAAACAAGCGTATCTCAAGCAAGAGGTGGGACTGGAAAATATTTCAGTACGGAAAAATATAAAACAACTTCAGTGGAAGCAAATAAAGTATCAAAATATCTGCCACTTAAAATTACGAGTATATACAAAAAACAAACAACATGGCATACAAGTGCAATATCAAAAATTCAATTGGAACAGTCAAGTTTTCCTGCATGTGATTGTACCTGCGAATTAGAAAATGGCAAAGATTCATGCATCTGCGAGTGCAGTCTTAACCGCAGCACTTCAGAAGACAGGAAAAGTATATCAGATAGTGCATCCAAAAAGTCTCCACTCACCGAATCAAATCAATCGAGTTCGTCATCTAGTAATTTAGATACAATTTCGGGTTCAGAAAAGAAAAAAATAAAGTCGGCATCAACACCTTATTCAAGAACAACTCCAGGTAATTCATTTAAACTTTCGACTACAGTAGTAGATCGAATAACTGAAGAAAAAATTAACAAAATATCGGAATCTTTACCTCAATCGAGTACAATATCAAGTACATCATTTGAAATTTCTAGTAGAGGAAAATGCTCTATTCCACCAGAGAAAGAATCAAAGAAGTTGGAATCTCCGCTTCAATCAAGAACAACATCCGGAAGCTTATTTACAATTTCTACTGTGGCAAAAGATCGAATAAGTCAAGAGGAACTTACCGAAATAATGCAATCTTTACCTCAATCCAGTACAATATCAAGTAGATCACTTGAAATGTCTAGTACAGAAAAATACGAAACACCAACAGAAGAAACAGGAAGATGGTCGGAGCCTTCACCACAACTAAGTTATATATCAGGACAGTCTTTTAAAACTTCAAGCTCAAAGAAATTCCAAATAACTTCGGCGGTAAAAAGTAAACTATCAAAGTATCCAACACCTAATATGTCGGTTTCAGAAATTAGTCAAACAGCTCGAAAAGAATTTAGCGAACAATTTAAAGCTCAATCAAGTGCAATATCAACAAGTCAGCTTAAACAGTCAAGTGTTCCTGTATGTGATTGTACCTGCCAGTTAAAGAAGGGAACGGACTCATGCATCTGCGAATGTATTTTTACAAGCAGCACTTCGGAAAGCACGAAAGGTGTAACAGAAAGTGCATTCGAGCAGTCAACAGCCAACCAATCAAATCAATACAGTACACCTAGAAGTTCATTTCAGATTTATAGTACAGAAAAATACCAAATAGTTTCAGAGGAAAAAACCAAACTGCCTGAATCAAGTACAACATCAGGCAGTTCACTTCAAGTTTTGACTACACTTAAAGATCGAATAACTGAAAATGAAATTAATAAAATATCGGAATCTCAACGTCAATCGAGTACAACATCAGGTACGTCATTTGAAATTTCTAGTACAGGAGAATACTCTATTCCACCAAAGGAAGAAACAAAGAAGTTGGAATCTCCGCTTCAATCAAGAACATCATCCGGAAGTCTATTTAAAATTTCGAATGCAGCAAAAGATCGAATAACTCAAGAGGAACTTACTGAAATATCGCAATCTTTACCTCAATCGACTACAATATCAAGTAGTTCATTTGAAATGTCTAGTACGGAAAAATACAAAACACCTACAGAAGAAACAGCAAGATGGTCGGAGCCTTCACCACAATTAAGTTTAACATCAGGACAGTCTTTTGAAACTTCACGCTCAAAGAAATTCCAAATAACTTCGGCGATAAGAAGTAAACCATCAAAATATCCAACACCTAATATGTCGGTTTCAGAAATTAGTCAAACAGCTCGAAAAGAATTTAGCGAACTATTTAAATCTCAATCAAGTGCAATATCAACAAGTCAGTTTGAACAGTCAAGTGTTCCTGTATGTGATTGTACCTGCCAGTTAAAGAAGGGAACGGACTCATGCATCTGCGAATGTATTTTTACAAGCAGCACTTCGGAAAGCACGAAAGGTGTAACAGAAAGTGCATTCGAGCAGTCAACAGCCAACCAATCAAATCAATACAGTACACCTAGAAGTTCATTTCAGATTTATAGTACAGAAAAATACCAAATAGTTTCAGAGGAAAAAACCAAACTGCCTGAATCAAGTACAACATCAGGCAGTTCACTTCAAGTTTTGACTACACTTAAAGATCGAATAACTGAAAATGAAATTAATAAAATATCGGAATCTCAACGTCAATCGAGTACAACATCAGGTACGTCATTTGAAATTTCTAGTACAGGAGAATACTCTATTCCACCAAAGGAAGAAACAAAGAAGTTGGAATCTCCGCTTCAATCAAGAACATCATCCGGAAGTCTATTTAAAATTTCGAATGCAGCAAAAGATCGAATAACTCAAGAGGAACTTACTGAAATATCGCAATCTTTACCTCAATCGACTACAATATCAAGTAGTTCATTTGAAATGTCTAGTACGGAAAAATACGAAACACCTACAGAAGAAACAGCAAGATGGTCGGAGCCTTCACGACAATTAAGTTCTATATCAGGACAGTCTTTTAAAACTTCAAGCTCAAAGAAATTTGAAATAACTTCGGCGATAAGAAGTAAACCATCAAAATATCCAACACCTAAGATGTCGGTTTCAGAAATTAGTCAAACAGCTCGAAAAGAATTTAGCGAACAATTTAAATCTCAATCAAGTGCAATAACAACAAGTCAGTTTGAACAGTCAAGTGTTCCTGTATGTGATTGTACCTGCCAGTTAAAGAAGGGAACGGACTCATGCATCTGCGAATGTATTTTTACAAGCAGCACTTCGGAAAGCACGAAAGGTGTAACAGAAAGTGCATTCGAGCAGTCAACAGCCAACCAATCAAATCAGTACAGTACACCTAGAAGTTCATTTCAGATTTATAGTACAGAAAAAAACCAAATAGTTTCAGAGGAAAAAACCAAACTGCCTGAATCAAGTACAACATCAGGCAGTTCACTTCAAGTTTTGACTACACTTAAGGATCGAATAACTGAAAATGAAATTAATAAAATACCGGAATCTCTACCTCAATCGAGTACAATATCAAGTTCATCTTTTGATATTTCTAGTACAAGAAAATACTCTATTCCACCAGAGAAAGAATCAAAGAAGTTGGAATCTCCGCTTCAATCAAGAACAACATCCGAAAGCTTATTTAAAATTTCTACTACAGTAAAAGATCGAATAACTCAAGAGGAACTTACTGAAATAACGCAATCTTTACCTCAATCCAGTGCAATATCAAGTAGATCATTTGAAATGTCTAGTACAGAAAAATACGAAACACCTACAGAAGAAAAAGCAAGATGGTCGGAGCCTTCACCACAATTAAGTTTAACATCAGGACAGTCTTTTGAAACTTCAAGCTCAAAGAGATTCCAAACAACTTCCGCGGTGAAAAGTAAACCCTCAAAATATCTAACACCTAATATGTGGGTTACAGAAATTGGTCAAACAGCTCGAAAAGAATTTAGCGAAATATTTAAATCTCAATCAAGTCCAATATCAGCAGGTGTAACAGAAAGTGCGTTCGAGCAGTCAATAGTCAACCAATCAAATCAATACAGTACATCTAAAAGTTCTTCTCAGATTTATAGTACAGAAAAATACCAAATAGTTTCAGAGGAAAAAACCAAACTGCCTGAATCAAGTACAACATCAGGCAGTTCACTTCAAGTTTTGACTACACTTAAATATCGAGTAACTGAAAATAAACTTAATAAAATATCGGAATCTCTACCTCAATCGAGTACAATATCAAGTACATCATTTGAAATTTCTAGTACAGGAAAATACTCTATTCCACCAAAGGAAGAAACAAAGAAGTTGGAATCTCCGCTTCAATCAAGAACATCATCCGAAAGTCTATTTAAAATTTCGACTGCAGCAAAAGATCAAATAACTCAAGAGGAACTTATTGAAATATCGCAACTTCTACCTCAATCGACTACAATATCAAGAAGATCATTTGAAATGTCTAGTACGGAAAAATACGAAACACCTACAGAAGAAAAAGCAAGATGGTCGGAGCCTTCACGACAATTAAGTTCTATATCAGGACAGTCTTTTAAAACTTCAAGCTCAAAGAAATTTGAAATAACTTCGGCGATAAGAAGTAAACCTACTACACCTAATATGTCGGTTTCGGAAATTAGTCAAACAGCTCGAAAAGAATTTAGCGAACAATTTAAATCTCAATCAAGTGCAATATCAACAAGTCAGTTTGAACAGTCAAGTGTTCCTGTATGTGATTGTACCTGCCAGTTAAAGAAGGGAACGGACTCATGCATCTGCGAATGTATTTTTACAAGCAGCACTTCGGAAAGCACGAAAGGTGTAACAGAAAGTGCATTCGAGCAGTCAACAGCCAACCAATCAAATCAATACAGTACACCTAGAAGTTCATTTCAGATTTATAGTACAGAAAAATACCAAATAGTTTCAGAGGAAAAAACCAAACTGCCTGAATCAAGTACAACATCAGGCAGTTCACTTCAAGTTTTGACTACACTTAAAGATCGAGTAACTGAAAATAAACTTAATAAAATATCGGAATCTCTTCCTCAATCGAGTACAATATCAAGTACATCATTTGAAATTTCTAGTACAGGAAAATACTCTATTCCACCAAAGGAAGAAACAAAGAAGTTGGAATCTCAGCTTCAATCAAGGACATCATCCGGAAGTCTATTTAAAATTTCGACTGCAGCAAAAGATCGAATAACTCAAGAGAAACTTACTGAAATATCGCAATCTCTACCTCAATCGACTACAATATCAAGTAGATCATTTGAAATGTCTAGTACGGAAAAATACGAAACACCTACAGAAGAAAAAGCAAGATGGTCGGAGCCTTCACCACAATTAAGTTTAACATCAGGACAGTCTTTTGAAACTTCAAGCTCAAAGAGATTCCAAACAACTTCCGCGGTGAAAAGTAAACCCTCAAAATATCTAACACCTAATATGTGGGTTACAGAAATTGGTCAAACAGCTCGAAAAGAATTTAGCGAAATATTTAAATCTCAATCAAGTCTAATATCAGCAGGTGTAACAGAAAGTGCGTTCGAGCAGTCAACAGTCAACCAATCAAATCAATACAGTACATCTAAAAGTTCTTTTCAGATTCATAGTACAGAAAAATACCAAATAGTTTCAGAGGAAAAAACAAAACTGCCGGAATCTCCGGCTGAATCAAGTACAACATCAGGCAGTTCACTTCAAGTTTTGACTACACTTAAAGATCGAGTAACTGAAAATAAAATTAATAAAATATCGGAATCTCTACCGCAATCGAGTACAATATCAAGTACATCATTTGAAATTTCTAGTACAGGAAAATACTCTATTCCACCAAAGGAAGAAACAAAGAAGTTGGAATCTCCGCTTCAATCAAGAACATCATCCAGAAGTCTATTTAAAATTTCGACTGCAGCAAAAGATCGAATACCTCAAGAGGAACTTACTGAAATATCGCAACCTCTACCTCAATCGACTACAATATCAAGTAGATCATTTGAAATGTCTAGTACGGAAAAATACGAAACACCTACAGAAGAAACAGCAAGATGGTCGGAGCCTTCACGACAATTAAGTTCTATATCAGGACAGTCTTTTAAAACTTCAAGCTCAAAGAAATTCCAAATAACTTCGGCGATAAGAAGTAAACCATCAAAATATCCAACACCTAATATGTCGGTTTCAGAAATTAGTCAAACAGCTCGAAAAGAATTTAGCGAATTTTTTAAATCTCAATCAAGTGCAATATCAACAAGTCAGTTTGAAGAGTCAAGTGTTCCTGTATGTGATTGTACCTGCCAGTTAAAGAAGGGAACGGACTCATGCATCTGCGAATGTATTTTTACAAGCAGCACTTCGGAAAGCACGAAAGGTGTAACAGAAAGTGCATTCGAGCAGTCAACAGCCAACCAATCAAATCAATACAGTACACCTAGAAGTTCATTTCAGATTTATAGTACAGAAAAATACCAAATAGTTTCAGAGGAAAAAACCAAACTGCCTGAATCAAGTACAACATCAGGCAGTTCACTTCAAGTTTTGACTACACTTAAAGATCGAATAACTGAAAATGAAATTAATAAAATACCGGAATCTCTACCTCAATCGAGTACAATATCAAGTACATCATTTGAAATTTCTAGTACAAGAAAATACTCTTTTCCACCAGAGAAAGAATCAAAGAAGTTAGAATCTCCGCTTCAATCAAGGACAACATCCGAAAGCTTATTTAAAATTTCTACTACAGCAAAAGATCGAATAACTCAAGAGGAACTTACTGAAATAACGCAATCTTTACCTCAATCCAGTGCAATATCAAGTAGATCATTTGAAATGTCTAGTTCAGAAAAATACGAAACACCTACAGAAGAAACAGCGAGATGGTCGGAGCCTTCACCACAATTAAGTTTAACATCAGGACAGTCTTTTGAAACTTCAAGCTCAAAGAGATTCCAAACAACTTCCGCGGTGAAAAGTAAACCCTCAAAATATCCAACACCTAATATGTCGGTTACAGAAAGTGGTCAAACAGCTCGAAAAGAATTTAGCGAACTATTTAAATCTCAATCAAGTGCAATATCAACAAGTCAGTTTGAACAGTCAAGTGTTCCTGTATGTGATTGTACCTGCCAGTTAAAGAAGGGAACGGACTCATGCATCTGCGAATGTATTTTTAAAAGCAGCACTTCGGAAAGTACGAAAGGTGTAAGAGAAAGTGCATTCGAGCAGTCAACAGCCAACCAATCAAATCAATACAGTACACCTAGAAGTTCATTTCAGATTTATAGTACAGAAAAATACCAAATAGTTTCAGAGGAAAAAACCAAACTGCCTGAATCAAGTACAACATCAGGCAGTTCACTTCAAGTTTTGACTACACTTAAAGATCGAGTAACTGAAAATAAACTTAATAAAATATCGGAATCTCTTCCTCAATCGAGTACAATATCAAGTACATCATTTGAAATTTCTAGTACAGGAAAATACTCTATTCCACCAAAGGAAGAAACAAAGAAGTTGGAATCTCAGCTTCAATCAAGGACATCATCCGGAAGTCTATTTAAAATTTCGACTGCAGCAAAAGATCGAATAACTCAAGAGGAACTTACTGAAATATCGCAATCTCTACCTCAATCGACTACAATATCAAGTAGATCATTTGAAATGTCTAGTACGGAAAAATACGAAACACCTACAGAAGAAACAGCAAGATGGTCGGAGCCTTCACGACAATTAAGTTCTATATCAGGACAGTCTTTTAAAACTTCAAGCTCAAAGAAATTCCAAATAACTTCGGCGATAAGAAGTAAACCATCAAAATATCCAACACCTAATATGTCGGTTTCAGAAATTAGTCAAACAGCTCGAAAAGAATTTAGCGAACTATTTAAATCTCAATCAAGTGCAATATCAACAAGTCAGTTTGAACAGTCAAGTGTTCCTGTATGTGATTGTACCTGCCAGTTAAAGAAGGGAACGGACTCATGCATCTGCGAATGTATTTTTACAAGCAGCACTTCGGAAAGCACGAAAGGTGTAACAGAAAGTGCATTCGAGCAGTCAACAGCCAACCAATCAAATCAATACAGTACACCTAGAAGTTCATTTCAGATTTATAGTACAGAAAAATACCAAATAGTTTCAGAGGAAAAAACCAAACTTCCTGAATCAAGTACAACATCAGGCAGTTTACTTCAAGTTTTGACTACACTTAAAGATCGAGTAACTGAAAATAAAATTAATAAAATATCGGAATCTCTACCTCAATCGAGTACAATATCAAGTACATCATTTGAAATTTCTAGTACAGGAAAATACTCTATTCCACCAAAGGAAGAAACAAAGAAGTTGGAATCTCCGCTTCAATCAAGAACATCATCCGGAAGTCTATTTAAAATTTCGACTGCAGCAAAAGATCGAATAACTCAAGAGGAACTTACTGAAATATCGCAATCTCTACCTCAATCGACTACAATATCAAGTAGATCATTTGAAATGTCTAGTACGGAAAAATACGAAACACCTACAGAAGAAACAGCAAGATGGTCGGAGCCTTCACCACAACTAAGTTATATATCAGGACAGTCTTTTAAAACTTCAAGCTCAAAGAAATTCCAAATAACTTCGGCGGTAAAAAGTAAACCATCAAAATATCCAACACCTAATATGTCGGTTTCAGAAATTAGTCAAACAGCTCGAAAAGAATTTAGCGAACTATTTAAATCTCAATCAAGTGCAATATCAACAAGTCAGTTTGAACAGTCAAGTGTTCCTGTATGTGATTGTACCTGCCAGTTAAAGAAGGGAACGGACTCATGCATCTGCGAATGTATTTTTACAAGCAGCACTTCGGAAAGCACGAAAGGTGTAACAGAAAGTGCATTCGAGCAGTCAACAGCCAACCAATCAAATCAATACAGTACACCTAGAAGTTCATTTCAGATTTATAGTACAGAAAAATACCAAATAGTTTCAGAGGAAAAAACAAAACTGCCGGAATCTCCGCCTGAATCAAGTACAACATCAGGCAGTTCACTTCAAATTTCGACTACACTAAAAGATCGAATAACTGAAAAGGAAATTAATAAAATACCGGAATCTCTACCTCAATCGAGTACAATATCAAGTACATCATTTGAAATTTCTAGTACAGGAAAATACTCTTTTCCACCAGAGAAAGAATCAAAGAAGTTGGAATCTCCGCTTCAATCAAGGACAACATCCGAAAGCTTATTTAAAATTTCTACTACAGCAAAAGATCGAATAACTCAAGAGGAACTTACTGAAATATCGCAATCTCTACCTCAATCGACTACAATATCAAGTAGATCATTTGAAATGTCTAGTACGGAAAAATACGAAACACCTACAGAAGAAACAGCAAGATGGTCGGAGCCTTCACGACAATTAAGTTCTATATCAGGACAGTCTTTTAAAACTTCAAGCTCAAAGAAATTCCAAATAACTTCGGCGATAAGAAGTAAACCATCAAAATATCCAACACCTAATATGTCGGTTTCAGAAATTAGTCAAACAGCTCGAAAAGAATTTAGCGAATTTTTTAAATCTCAATCAAGTGCAATATCAACAAGTCAGTTTGAAGAGTCAAGTGTTCCTGTATGTGATTGTACCTGCCAGTTAAAGAAGGGAACGGACTCATGCATCTGCGAATGTATTTTTACAAGCAGCACTTCGGAAAGCACGAAAGGTGTAACAGAAAGTGCATTCGAGCAGTCAACAGTCAACCAATCAAATCAATACAGTACATCTAAAAGTTCTTTTCAGATTTATAGTACAGAAAAATACCAACTAGTTACAGAGGAAAAAACCAAACTGCCTGAATCAAGTACAACATCAGGCAGTTCACTTCAAGTTTTGACTACACTTAAAGATCGAGTAACTGAAAATAAAATTAATAAAATATCGGAATCTCTACCTCAATCGAGTACAATATCAAGTACATCATTTGAAATTTCTAGTACAGGAAAATACTCTATTCCACCAAAGGAAGAAACAAAGAAGTTGGAATCTCCGCTTCAATCAAGGACATCATCCGGAAGTCTATTTAAAATTTCGACTGCAGCAAAAGATCGAATAACTCAAGAGGAACTTACTGAAATATCGCAATCTCTACCTCAATCGACTACAATATCAAGTAGATCATTTGAAATGTCTAGTACGGAAAAATACGAAACACCTACAGAAGAAACAGCAAGATGGTCGGAGCCTTCACCACAACTAAGTTATATATCAGGACAGTCTTTTAAAACTTCAAGCTCAAAGAAATTCCAAATAACTTCGGCGGTAAAAAGTAAACCATCAAAATATCCAACACCTAATATGTCGGTTTCAGAAATTAGTCAAACAGCTCGAAAAGAATTTAGCGAACTATTTAAATCTCAATCAAGTGCAATATCAACAAGTCAGTTTGAACAGTCAAGTGTTCCTGTATGTGATTGTACCTGCCAGTTAAAGAAGGGAACGGACTCATGCATCTGCGAATGTATTTTTACAAGCAGCACTTCGGAAAGCTCGAAAGGTGTAACAGAAAGTGCATTCGAGCAGTCAACAGCCAACCAATCAAATCAATACAGTACATCTAGAAGTTCATTTCAGATTTATAGTACAGAAAAATACCAAATAGTTTCAGCGGAAAAATCCAAACTGCTTGAATCAAGTACAACATCAGGCAGTTCACTTCAAGTTTTGACTACACTTAAAGATCGAATAACTGAAAATGAAATTAATAAAATACCGGAATCTCTACCTCAATCGAGTACAATATCAAGTACATCATTTAAAATTTCTAGTACAGGAAAATACTCTTTTCCACCAGAGAAAGAATCAAAGAAGTTGGAATCTCCGCTTCAATCAAGGACAACATCCGAAAGCTTATTTAAAATTTCTACTACAGCAAAAGATCGAATAACTCAAGAGGAACTTACTGAAATAACGCAATCTTTACCTCAATCCAGTGCAATATCAAGTAGATCATTTGAAATGTCTAGTACAGAAAAATACGAAACACCTACAGAAGAAACAGCAAGATGGTCGGAGCCTTCACCACAATTAAGTTTAACATCAGGACAGTCTTTTGAAACTTCACGCTCAAAGAAATTCCAAATAACTTCGGCGATAAGAAGTAAACCATCAAAATATCCAACACCTAATATGTCGGTTTCAGAAATTAGTCAAACAGCTCGAAAAGAATTTAGCGAACTATTTAAATCTCAATCAAGTGCAATATCAACAAGTCAGTTTGAACAGTCAAGTGTTCCTGTATGTGATTGTACCTGCCAGTTAAAGAAGGGAACGGACTCATGCATCTGCGAATGTATTTTTACAAGCAGCACTTCGGAAAGCACGAAAGGTGTAACAGAAAGTGCATTCGAGCAGTCAACAGCCAACCAATCAAATCAATACAGTACACCTAGAAGTTCATTTCAGATTTATAGTACAGAAAAATACCAAATAGTTTCAGAGGAAAAAACCAAACTTCCTGAATCAAGTACAACATCAGGCAGTTTACTTCAAGTTTTGACTACACTTAAAGATCGAGTAACTGAAAATAAAATTAATAAAATATCGGAATCTCTACCTCAATCGAGTACAATATCAAGTACATCATTTGAAATTTCTAGTACAGGAAAATACTCTATTCCACCAAAGGAAGAAACAAAGAAGTTGGAATCTCCGCTTCAATCAAGGACATCATCCGGAAGTCTATTTAAAATTTCGACTGCAGCAAAAGATCGAATAACTCAAGAGAAACTTACTGAAATATCGCAATCTCTACCTCAATCGACTACAATATCAAGTAGATCATTTGAAATGTCTAGTACGGAAAAATACGAAACACCTACAGAAGAAACAGCAAGATGGTCGGAGCCTTCACCACAACTAAGTTATATATCAGGACAGTCTTTTAAAACTTCAAGCTCAAAGAAATTCCAAATAACTTCGGCGGTAAAAAGTAAACCATCAAAATATCCAACACCTAATATGTCGGTTTCAGAAATTAGTCAAACAGCTCGAAAAGAATTTAGCGAACTATTTAAATCTCAATCAAGTGCAATATCAACAAGTCAGTTTGAACAGTCAAGTGTTCCTGTATGTGATTGTACCTGCCAGTTAAAGAAGGGAACGGACTCATGCATCTGCGAATGTATTTTTACAAGCAGCACTTCGGAAAGCACGAAAGGTGTAACAGAAAGTGCATTCGAGCAGTCAACAGTCAACCAATCAAATCAATACAGTACATCTAAAAGTTCTTTTCAGATTTATAGTACAGAAAAATACCAACTAGTTACAGAGGAAAAAACCAAACTGCCTGAATCAAGTACAACATCAGGCAGTTCACTTCAAGTTTTGACTACACTTAAAGATCGAGTAACTGAAAATAAAATTAATAAAATATCGGAATCTCTACCTCAATCGAGTACAATATCAAGTACATCATTTGAAATTTCTAGTACAGGAAAATACTCTATTCCACCAAAGGAAGAAACAAAGAAGTTGGAATCTCCGCTTCAATCAAGGACATCATCCGGAAGTCTATTTAAAATTTCGACTGCAGCAAAAGATCGAATAACTCAAGAGGAACTTACTGAAATATCGCAATCTCTACCTCAATCGACTACAATATCAAGTAGATCATTTGAAATGTCTAGTACGGAAAAATACGAAACACCTACAGAAGAAACAGCAAGATGGTCGGAGCCTTCACCACAACTAAGTTATATATCAGGACAGTCTTTTAAAACTTCAAGCTCAAAGAAATTCCAAATAACTTCGGCGGTAAAAAGTAAACCATCAAAATATCCAACACCTAATATGTCGGTTTCAGAAATTAGTCAAACAGCTCGAAAAGAATTTAGCGAACTATTTAAATCTCAATCAAGTGCAATATCAACAAGTCAGTTTGAACAGTCAAGTGTTCCTGTATGTGATTGTACCTGCCAGTTAAAGAAGGGAACGGACTCATGCATCTGCGAATGTATTTTTACAAGCAGCACTTCGGAAAGCTCGAAAGGTGTAACAGAAAGTGCATTCGAGCAGTCAACAGCCAACCAATCAAATCAATACAGTACATCTAGAAGTTCATTTCAGATTTATAGTACAGAAAAATACCAAATAGTTTCAGCGGAAAAATCCAAACTGCTTGAATCAAGTACAACATCAGGCAGTTCACTTCAAGTTTTGACTACACTTAAAGATCGAATAACTGAAAATGAAATTAATAAAATACCGGAATCTCTACCTCAATCGAGTACAATATCAAGTACATCATTTAAAATTTCTAGTACAGGAAAATACTCTTTTCCACCAGAGAAAGAATCAAAGAAGTTGGAATCTCCGCTTCAATCAAGGACAACATCCGAAAGCTTATTTAAAATTTCTACTACAGCAAAAGATCGAATAACTCAAGAGGAACTTACTGAAATAACGCAATCTTTACCTCAATCCAGTGCAATATCAAGTAGATCATTTGAAATGTCTAGTACAGAAAAATACGAAACACCTACAGAAGAAACAGCAAGATGGTCGGAGCCTTCACCACAATTAAGTTTAACATCAGGACAGTCTTTTGAAACTTCACGCTCAAAGAAATTCCAAATAACTTCGGCGATAAGAAGTAAACCATCAAAATATCCAACACCTAATATGTCGGTTTCAGAAATTAGTCAAACAGCTCGAAAAGAATTTAGCGAACTATTTAAATCTCAATCAAGTGCAATATCAACAAGTCAGTTTGAACAGTCAAGTGTTCCTGTATGTGATTGTACCTGCCAGTTAAAGAAGGGAACGGACTCATGCATCTGCGAATGTATTTTTACAAGCAGCACTTCGGAAAGCACGAAAGGTGTAACAGAAAGTGCATTCGAGCAGTCAACAGCCAACCAATCAAATCAATACAGTACACCTAGAAGTTCATTTCAGATTTATGGTACAGAAAAATACCAAATAGTTTCAGAGGAAAAAACCAAACTTCCTGAATCAAGTACAACATCAGGCAGTTTACTTCAAGTTTTGACTACACTTAAAGATCGAGTAACTGAAAATAAAATTAATAAAATATCGGAATCTCTACCTCAATCGAGTACAATATCAAGTACATCATTTGAAATTTCTAGTACAGGAAAATACTCTATTCCACCAAAGGAAGAAACAAAGAAGTTGGAATCTCCGCTTCAATCAAGGACATCATCCGGAAGTCTATTTAAAATTTCGACTGCAGCAAAAGATCGAATAACTCAAGAGAAACTTACTGAAATATCGCAATCTCTACCTCAATCGACTACAATATCAAGTAGATCATTTGAAATGTCTAGTACGGAAAAATACGAAACACCTACAGAAGAAACAGCAAGATGGTCGGAGCCTTCACCACAACTAAGTTATATATCAGGACAGTCTTTTAAAACTTCAAGCTCAAAGAAATTCCAAATAACTTCGGCGGTAAAAAGTAAACCATCAAAATATCCAACACCTAATATGTCGGTTTCAGAAATTAGTCAAACAGCTCGAAAAGAATTTAGCGAACTATTTAAATCTCAATCAAGTGCAATATCAACAAGTCAGTTTGAACAGTCAAGTGTTCCTGTATGTGATTGTACCTGCCAGTTAAAGAAGGGAACGGACTCATGCATCTGCGAATGTATTTTTACAAGCAGCACTTCGGAAAGCACGAAAGGTGTAACAGAAAGTGCATTCGAGCAGTCAACAGCCAACCAATCAAATCAATACAGTACACCTAGAAGTTCATTTCAGATTTATAGTACAGAAAAATACCAAATAGTTTCAGAGGAAAAAACAAAACTGCCGGAATCTCCGCCTGAATCAAGTACAACATCAGGCAGTTCACTTCAAATTTCGACTACACTAAAAGATCGAATAACTGAAAAGGAAATTAATAAAATACCGGAATCTCTACCTCAATCGAGTACAATATCAAGTACATCATTTGAAATTTCTAGTACAGGAAAATACTCTTTTCCACCAGAGAAAGAATCAAAGAAGTTGGAATCTCCGCTTCAATCAAGGACAACATCCGAAAGCTTATTTAAAATTTCTACTACAGCAAAAGATCGAATAACTCAAGAGGAACTTACTGAAATATCGCAATCTCTACCTCAATCGACTACAATATCAAGTAGATCATTTGAAATGTCTAGTACGGAAAAATACGAAACACCTACAGAAGAAACAGCAAGATGGTCGGAGCCTTCACGACAATTAAGTTCTATATCAGGACAGTCTTTTAAAACTTCAAGCTCAAAGAAATTCCAAATAACTTCGGCGATAAGAAGTAAACCATCAAAATATCCAACACCTAATATGTCGGTTTCAGAAATTAGTCAAACAGCTCGAAAAGAATTTAGCGAATTTTTTAAATCTCCATCAAGTGCAATATCAACAAGTCAGTTTGAAGAGTCAAGTGTTCCTGTATGTGATTGTACCTGCCAGTTAAAGAAGGGAACGGACTCATGCATCTGCGAATGTATTTTTACAAGCAGCACTTCGGAAAGCACGAAAGGTGTAACAGAAAGTGCATTCGAGCAGTCAACAGTCAACCAATCAAATCAATACAGTACATCTAAAAGTTCTTTTCAGATTTATAGTACAGAAAAATACCAACTAGTTACAGAGGAAAAAACCAAACTGCCTGAATCAAGTACAACATCAGGCAGTTCACTTCAAGTTTTGACTACACTTAAAGATCGAGTAACTGAAAATAAACTTAATAAAATATCGGAATCTCTTCCTCAATCGAGTACAATATCAAGTACATCATTTGAAATTTCTAGTACAGGAAAATACTCTATTCCACCAAAGGAAGAAACAAAGAAGTTGGAATCTCCGCTTCAATCAAGGACATCATCCGGAAGTCTATTTAAAATTTCGACTGCAGCAAAAGATCGAATAACTCAAGAGGAACTTACTGAAATATCGCAATCTCTACCTCAATCGACTACAATATCAAGTAGATCATTTGAAATGTCTAGTACGGAAAAATACGAAACACCTACAGAAGAAACAGCAAGATGGTCGGAGCCTTTACGACAATTAAGTTCTATATCAGGACAGTCTTTTAAAACTTCAAGCTCAAAGAAATTCCAAATAACTTCGGCGATAAGAAGTAAACCATCAAAATATCCAACACCTAATATGTCGGTTTCAGAAATTAGTCAAACAGCTCGAAAAGAATTTAGCGAATTTTTTAAATCTCAATCAAGTGCAATATCAACAAGTCAGTTTGAAGAGTCAAGTGTTCCTGTATGTGATTGTACCTGCCAGTTAAAGAAGGGAACGGACTCATGCATCTGCGAATGTATTTTTACAAGCAGCACTTCGGAAAGCACGAAAGGTGTAACAGAAAGTGCATTCGAGCAGTCAACAGTCAACCAATCAAATCAATACAGTACATCTAAAAGTTCTTTTCAGATTTATAGTACAGAAAAATACCAACTAGTTACAGAGGAAAAAACCAAACTGCCTGAATCAAGTACAACATCAGGCAGTTCACTTCAAGTTTTGACTACACTTAAAGATCGAGTAACTGAAAATAAACTTAATAAAATATCGGAATCTCTTCCTCAATCGAGTACAATATCAAGTACATCATTTGAAATTTCTAGTACAGGAAAATACTCTATTCCACCAAAGGAAGAAACAAAGAAGTTGGAATCTCCGCTTCAATCAAGGACATCATCCGGAAGTCTATTTAAAATTTCGACTGCAGCAAAAGATCGAATAACTCAAGAGGAACTTACTGAAATATCGCAATCTCTACCTCAATCGACTACAATATCAAGTAGATCATTTGAAATGTCTAGTACGGAAAAATACGAAACACCTACAGAAGAAACAGCAAGATGGTCGGAGCCTTCACGACAATTAAGTTCTATATCAGGACAGTCTTTTAAAACTTCAAGCTCAAAGAAATTCCAAATAACTTCGGCGATAAGAAGTAAACCATCAAAATATCCAACACCTAATATGTCGGTTTCAGAAATTAGTCAAACAGCTCGAAAAGAATTTAGCGAACTATTTAAATCTCAATCAAGTGCAATATCAACAAGTCAGTTTGAACAGTCAAGTGTTCCTGTATGTGATTGTACCTGCCAGTTAAAGAAGGGAACGGACTCATGCATCTGCGAATGTATTTTTACAAGCAGCACTTCGGAAAGCACGAAAGGTGTAACAGAAAGTGCATTCGAGCAGTCAACAGCCAACCAATCAAATCAATACAGTACATCTAGAAGTTCATTTCAGATTTATAGTACAGAAAAATACCAAATAGTTTCAGCGGAAAAATCCAAACTGCTTGAATCAAGTACAACATCAGGCAGTTCACTTCAAGTTTTGACTACACTTAAAGATCGAATAACTGAAAATGAAATTAATAAAATACCGGAATCTCTACCTCAATCGAGTACAATATCAAGTACATCATTTGAAATTTCTAGTACAGGAATATACTCTTTTCCACCAGAGAAAGAATCAAAGAAGTTGGAATCTCCGCTTCAATCAAGGACAACATCCGAAAGCTTATTTAAAATTTCTACTACAGCAAAAGATCGAATAACTCAAGAGGAACTTACTGAAATAACGCAATCTTTACCTCAATCCAGTGCAATATCAAGTAGATCATTTGAAATGTCTAGTACAGAAAAATACAAAACACCTACAGAAGAAACAGCAAGATGGTCGGAGCCTTCACCACAATTAAGTTTAACATCAGGACAGTCTTTTGAAACTTCACGCTCAAAGAAATTCCAAATAACTTCGGCGATAAGAAGTAAACCATCAAAATATCCAACACCTAATATGTCGGTTTCAGAAATTAGTCAAACAGCTCGAAAAGAATTTAGCGAACTATTTAAATCTCAATCAAGTGCAATATCAACAAGTCAGTTTGAACAGTCAAGTGTTCCTGTATGTGATTGTACCTGCCAGTTAAAGAAGGGAACGGACTCATGCATCTGCGAATGTATTTTTACAAGCAGCACTTCGGAAAGCACGAAAGGTGTAACAGAAAGTGCATTCGAGCAGTCAACAGCCAACCAATCAAATCAATACAGTACACCTAGAAGTTCATTTCAGATTTATAGTACAGAAAAATACCAAATAGTTTCAGAGGAAAAAACAAAACTGCCGGAATCTCCGCCTGAATCAAGTACAACATCAGGCAGTTCACTTCAAATTTCGACTACACTAAAAGATCGAATAACTGAAAAGGAAATTAATAAAATACCGGAATCTCAATCGAGTACAATATCAGGTACATCAGTTGTAATTTCTAGTACAGGAAAAAACTCTATTCCATCAGAGGAAGAATCAAAGAAGTGGGAGCCTCAATCAAAACCCGGAAGTTTTTTAAGAATTTCGACTTCAGCAAAAGATCAAATAACTCAAGAGGAACTAAGCGAAATATCACAATCTTTACCTCTATCGAGTGCCATATCAAGTAGATCATTTGAAATTTTTGGTACAGAAAAATATAAAACAACCACAGAAGAAACAACAAGATGGTCAGAGCCTTCAGCTCAACTTAGTTCAATATCCGAACAGTCTTTAAAAACTACAAGCTTAAAAAAATACGCAATAACTTCGGCGGTAAAAAGTAAACCATCAAAATATCCGACACTTCAAATGTCTGTTACAGATATTGGTCAAACAGCTCCAAAAGAATTTAGCGAACTATTGAAATCTCAATCAAGTACAATATCAACAGATCAGTTTGAACAGTCAAGTGTTCCTGCGTGTGATTGTAGTTGCAAATTGAAGAAGGGAAAAGACTCATGCATCTGCGAATGTATGTTTAGAAGTAGTAATTCAGAAAGCACCATAAATGTAACAGAAAGTGCATCCAACCAGTCAGGAGTCACCAAATCAAATCGGATTTTGGAATCTCTGCCGCAATCAAGCACAATTTATTTAATGTCTCTACCCCAATTGAGTACAATATTCAATAGTTCTTTTCAAACACCGAGTACAGAAATATACAATACTACTCAAAATAAAAAGTCTACATTTTCGGAATCTCATCCGCAATTAAGTACAATATTATTGGAATCATCACCTCAATCGCCTACAATATCCAGTAGTTCAGTTCAAATGTCCAGCACCGAAAAGGAAGAGAGAACTCCAAAGGAAAAATCTACATTTCCGGAATCTCAATCGCAATCAAGCACAACTGTTTCAAAGTCTTTTCCTCAGTTGAGTACAATATCTAGTAGTTATTTTCAAACACCAAGTACAGAAAAATATGCAACAACTCCAGAGGAAAAGTCTACATTTTCGGAATCCCTACCGCGAACAAGCACAACATTTTCAAAGTTTTTTCCTCAATTGAGTACAATATCCAGTAGTTATTTTCCAAAATCGAGTACAGAAAAATACGCAACAACTCCAGAGGAAAAGTCTACATTTTCGGAATCTCAAACGCAATCAAGTACATTATTGGAATCATCACCTCAATCGCCTACAATATCCAGTACTTCAGTTCCAATGTCCAGTACCGAGAAGAAAGAGAGAACTACAGAGAAAAAATCTATATTTTCGGAATCCCTACCGCAATCAAGTACAACATTATTGCAATCATCACCTCAATCGCCTACAATATCCAGTACTTCACTTCAAATTTCCAGTACCGAAAAGCAAGAGAGAACTACAGAGGAAAAATCTACCTTTTCGGAATCTCAAACGCAATCAAGTACATTATTGGAATCATCACCTCAATCGCCTACAATATTCAGTACTTCAGTTCCAGTGTCCAGTACCGAAAAGAAAGAGAGAACTACAGAGAAAAAATCTACATTTTCGGAATCCCTACCGCAATCAAGTACAACATTATTGCAATCATCACCTCAATTGCCTACAATATCCAGTACTTCACTTCAAATTTCCAGTACCGAAAAGGAAGAGAGAACTGCAGAGGAAAAATCAACATTTTGGGAATCTCAACCGCAATCAAGTACAACATTATTGGAATCATCACTTCAATCGCTTCCGAAATCCAGTACTTCAGTTCAAATGTCCAGTACCGAAAAGGAAGAGAGAACTACAGAGGAAAAATCTACTTTTTCGGAATCTCAACCGCAATCAAGTACAAATGTTTCAAATTCTATTCCTCAATTGAGTACAATATCCAGTAGTAATTTTCAAACATCGAGTACAGAAAAATACGCAACAACTCCAGAGGAAAAGTCTACATTTTCGGAATCTCAACCGCAATCAAGTACAACATTATTGGAATCATCACCTCAATCGCCTACAATATCCAGTACTTCAGTTCAAATTTCTAGTACCGAAAAGGAAGAGAGAACTACAGAGGAAAAATCTACATTTTCGGAATCTCAACCGCAATCAAGTACAACATTATTGGAATCATCACCTCAATCGCCCAAAATATCCAGTTCTTCAGTTCAAATGTCCAGTACCGAAAAGGAAGAGAGATCTACAGAGGAAAAATCTACTTTTTCGGAATCTCAACCGCAATCAAGCACAATTGTTTCAAAGTCTATTCCTCAACTGAGTACAAAATCGAGTAGTTATTTTCAAACATCGAGTACAGAAAAATTCGCAGCAACTCCAGAGGAAAAGTCTACATTTTCGGAACCTCAACCGCAATCAAGTACAACATTATTTGAATCAACACCTCAATCGCCTACAATATCCGGTACCTTAGTCCAAATGTCCAGTAACGAAAAGGAAGAGAGAACTACAGAGGAAAAATCTACATTTTCGGAATCCCTACCGCAATCAAGCACAACTTTTTCAAAGTCTTTTCCTCAATTGAGTACAATATCCAGTAGTTATTTTCCAACATCGAGTACAAAAAAATACGAAACAACTCCAGAGGAAATGTCTACATTTTCGGAATCTCAACCGCAATCAAGTACAACATTATTGGAATCAACACCTCAATCGCCTACAATATCCGGTACCTTAGTCCAAATGTCCAGTACCGAAAAGGAAGAGAGAACTACAGAGGAAAAATCTACATTTTCGGAATCTCTTCCGCAAACAAGCACAACAGTTTCAAAGTCTTTTCCTCAATTGAGTACAATATCCAGTAGGTATTTTCAAACATCGAGTACTGAAAAATACGCCACAACTCCAGAGGAAAAGTCTACATTTTTGGAATCTCAACCGCCATCAAGAACAACATTATTGGAATCATCACCTCAATCGCCCACAACATCCAGTACTTCAGTTCAAGTGTCCAGTACCGAAAAGGAAGAGAGAACTACAGAGGAAAAACCTACATTTTCGGAATCTCTTCCACAAACAAGCACAACAGTTTCAAAGTCATTTCCTCAATTGAGTACAATATCCAGTAGTTATTTTCAAAAATCTAGTACAGAAACATACGCAACAACTCCAGAGGAAAAGTCTACATTTTCGGAATCTCAACCGCAATCAAGTACAACATTATTGAAATCATCACCTCTATCGCCTACAATATCCAGTACTTCAGTTCAAGTGTCCAGTACCGAAAAGGAAGAGAGAACTACAGAGGAAAAATCTACATTTTCGGAATCCCAATATCCTCAATTGAGTACAATATTCAGTAGTTATTTTAAAACATCGAGTACAGAAAAATACGCAGCATATCCAGAGCAAAAGTCTACATTTCCTCAATTGAGTACAATATCCAGAAGTTATTTTCAAACATCGAGTAGAGAAAAATACGCAACATATCCTGAGCAAAACTCTACATTTTCTCAATTGAGTACAATATCCAGTAGTTATTTTCAAACATCTAGTACAGAAAAATACGCCACAACTCCAGAGGAAAAATCTACATTTTCGGAATCTCAACCGCAATCAAGTACAACATTATTGGAATCATCACCTCAATCGCCCACAACATCCAGTACTTCAGTCCAAATGTCCAGTACCGAAAAGAAAGAGAGAACTACAGAGGAAAAATATACATTTTCGGAATCTCTTCCGCAAACAAGCACAACAGTTTCAAAGTCTTTTCCTCAATTGAGTACAATATCCAGTAGGTATTTTCAAACATCGAGTACTGAAAAATACGCAACAACTCAAGAGGAAAAGTCTACATTTTTCGAATCACAACCGCAATCAAGTACAACATTATTGGAATCATCACCTCAATCGCCTACAATATCCAGTACCTTAGTCCAAATGTCCAATACCGAAAAGGAAGAGAGAACTACAGAGGAAAAATCTACATTTTCGGAATCTCTTCCGCAAACAAGCACAACAGTTTCAAAGTCTTTTCCTCAATTGAGTACAATATCCAGTAGGTATTTTCAAACATCGAGTACTGAAAAATACGAAACAACTCCAGAGGAAATGTCTACATTTTCGGAATCTCAAACACAATCAAGTACAACATTATTGGAATCATCACCTCAATCGCCTACAATATCCAGTACTTCAGTCCAAATGTCCAGTACCGAAAAGGAAGAGAGAACTACAGAGGAAAAATCTACATTTTCGGAATCTCAAACACAATCAAGTACAACATTTTTGGAATCATCACCTCAATCGCCTACAATATCCTTTACTTCAGTCCAAATGTCCAGTACCGAAAAGGAAGAGAGAACTACAGAGGAAAAATCTACATTTTCGGAATCTCTACCGCAATCAAGTTCAACATTATTTGAATCATCACCTCAATCGCCTACAATATCCAGTACTTCACTTCAAATGTCCAGTACCGAAAAGGAAGAGAGAACTACCGAGGAAAAACCAACATTTTCGGAATCCCTTCCGCAAACAAGCACAACTTTTTCAAAGTCTTTTCCTCAATTGAGTACAATATCCAGTAGTTATTTTCAAACATCGAGTTCAGAAAAATACGAAACAACGACAGAGGAAATGTCTACATTTTCGGAATCTCAACCGCAATCAAGTACAACATTATTGGAATCATCACCTCAATCGCCCACAACATCCAGTACTTCAGTCCAAATGTCCAGTACCGAAAAGAAAGAGAGAACTACAGAGGAAAAATATACATTTTCGGAATCTCAAACACAATCAAGTACAACATTATTGGAATCATCACCTCAATCGCCTACAATTTTCAGTACTTCAGTTCAACTGTCCAGTACCGAAAAGGAAGAGAGAACTACAGAGGAAAAATCTACATTTTCGGAATCTCTTCCGCAAACAAGCACAACAGTTTCAAAGTCTTTTCCTCAATTGAGTACAATATCCAGTAGGTATTTTCAAACATCGAGTACTGAAAAATACGCAACAACTCAAGAGGAAAAGTCTACATTTTTCGAATCACAACCGCAATCAAGTACAACATTATTGGAATCATCACCTCAATCGCCTACAATATCCAGTACCTTAGTCCAAATGTCCAATACCGAAAAGGAAGAGAGAACTACAGAGGAAAAATCTACATTTTCGGAATCTCTTCCGCAAACAAGCACAACAGTTTCAAAGTCTTTTCCTCAATTGAGTACAATATCCAGTAGGTATTTTCAAACATCGAGTACTGAAAAATACGAAACAACTCCAGAGGAAATGTCTACATTTTCGGAATCTCAAACACAATCAAGTACAACATTATTGGAATCATCACCTCAATCGCCTACAATATCCAGTACTTCAGTCCAAATGTCCAGTACCGAAAAGGAAGAGAGAACTACAGAGGAAAAATCTACATTTTCGGAATCTCAAACACAATCAAGTACAACATTTTTGGAATCATCACCTCAATCGCCTACAATATCCTTTACTTCAGTCCAAATGTCCAGTACCGAAAAGGAAGAGAGAACTACAGAGGAAAAATCTACATTTTCGGAATCTCTACCGCAATCAAGTTCAACATTATTTGAATCATCACCTCAATCGCCTACAATATCCAGTACTTCACTTCAAATGTCCAGTACCGAAAAGGAAGAGAGAACTACCGAGGAAAAACCAACATTTTCGGAATCCCTTCCGCAAACAAGCACAACTTTTTCAAAGTCTTTTCCTCAATTGAGTACAATATCCAGTAGTTATTTTCAAACATCGAGTTCAGAAAAATACGAAACAACGACAGAGGAAATGTCTACATTTTCGGAATCTCAACCGCAATCAAGTACAACATTATTTGAAGCATCACCTCAATCGCCTACAATATCCAGTACTTCAGTTCAAATATCCAGTACCGAAAAGGAACAGAGAACTGCAGAGGAAAAATCTACATTTTCGGAATCTCAACGGCAATCAAGTACAACATTATTTGAATCATCACTTCAATCGCCTACAATATCCAGTACTTCAGTTCAAATATCCAGTACCGAAAAGGAAAAGAGAACTACAGAGGAAAAATCTACATTTTCGGAATCTCTACCGCAATCAAGCACAACTGTTTCAAAGTCTTTTCCTCAATTGAGTTCAATATCCAGTACTTATTTTCAAACATCGAGTACAGAAAAACACGCAACAACTCCAGAGGAAAAGTCTACATTTTCGGAATCTAAACCGCAATCAAGTACAATATTATTGGAATCATCCCCCCAATCGCCTACAATATCCAGTACTTCAGTTCCAATGTCCAGTACCGAAAAGGAAGATAGATCTACAGAGGAGAAATCTACATTTTCGGAATCTCAACCGCAATCAAGTGCAACATTATTGGAATCATCACTTCAATCGCCTACAATATCCAGTACCTTAGTCCAAATGTCCAGTACCGAAAAGGAAGAGAGAACTACAGAGGAAAAATCTACATTTTCGGAATCTCAACCGCAATCAAGTACAACATTATTGGAATCATCACCTCAATCGCCTACAATATCCTTTACTTCAGTCCAAATGTCCAGTACCGAAAAGGAAGAGAGAACTACAGAGGAAAAATCTACATTTTCGGAATCTCTACCGCAATCAAGTTCAACATTATTTGAATCATCACCTCAATCGCCTACAATATCCAGTACTTCACTTCAAATGTCCAGTGCCGAAAAGGAAGAGAGATCTACAGAGGAAAAATCTACATTTTCGGAATCTCAACCGCAATCAAGTACAACATTATTGGAATCATCACCTCAATCGCCTTCAATATCCAGTACTTCACATCAACTGTCCAGTACCGAAAAGGAAGAGAGAACTACAGAGGAAAAACCAACATTTTCGGAATCCCTTCCGCAAACAAACACAACTTTTTCAAAGTCTTTTCCTCAATTGAGTACAATATCCAGTAGTTCTTTTCAAACAACGAGCTCAGAAAAATACGCAACAACTCCAGAGGAAAAGTCTACATTTTCGGAATCTCAACCGCAATCAAGTACAACATTATTGGAATCATCACCTCAATCGCCTACAATATCCAGTACTTCACTTCAAATGTCCAGTACCGAAAAGGAAGAGAGATCTACAGAGGAAAAATCTACATTTTCGGAATCTCAACCGCAATCAAATACAACATTATTTGAAACATCACCTCAATCGCCTACAATATCCAGTACTTCAGTTCAAATGTCCAGTACCGAAAATAAAAAAAGAACTACAGAAGAAAAATCTACATTTTCGGAATCTCAAACACAATCAAGTACAACATTTTTGAAATCATCACCTCAATCGCCTACAATATCCAGTACTTCAGATCAACTGTCCAGTACCGAAAAGGAAGAGAGAACTACAGAGGAAAAATCTACATTTTCGGAATCCCTACCGCAATCAAGCACAACTGTTTCAAAGTCTTTTCCTCAATTGCGTACAATATCCAGTAGTTATTTTCAAACATCGAGTACAGAAAAATACGAAACAACTCCAGAGGAAATGTCTACATTTTCGGAATCTCAACAGCAATCAAGTACAAAATTATTGGAATCATCACCTCAATCGCCTACAATATCCAGTTCTTCAGTTCAAATGTCCAGTACCGAAAAGGAAGAGAGAACTGCAGAGGAAAAATCTACATTTTCGGAATCTCAACCGCAATCAAGTACAACATTATTTGAAACATCACCTCAATCGCCTACAATATCCAGTACTTCAGTTCAAATGTCCAGTACCGAAAATAAAAAAGGGACTACTGAGGAAAAATCTACATTTTCGGAATCTCAACCGCAATCAAGTACAACATTATTTGAAACATCACCTCAATCGCCTACAATATCCAGTTCTTCAGTACAAATGTCCAGTACCGAAAAGAAAAAGAGAACTACAGAGGAAAAATCTACATTTTCGGAATCTTTACCGCAATCAAGCACAACTGTTTCAAAGTCTTTTCCTCAATTGAGTACAATATCCAGTACTTATTTTCAAACATCGAGTACAGAAAAATACGCAACAACTCCGGAGGAAAAGTCTACATTTTCGGAATCTAAGCCGCAATCAAGTACAACATTATTGGAATCATCCCCCCAATCGCCTACAATATCCAGTACTTCAGTTCCAATGTCCAGTACCGAAAAGGAAGAGAGATCTACAGAGGAAAAATCTACATTTTCGGAATCTCAACCACAATCAAGTGCAACATTATTGGAATCATCACTTCAATCGCCTACAATATCCAGTACCTTAGGCCAAATGTCCAGTACCGAAAAAAAAGAGAGAACTACAGAGGAAAAATCTACATTTTCTGAATCTCAACCGCAATCAAGTGCAACATTATTGGAATCATCACCTCAGTCGCCTACAATATCCAGTACTTCAGTTCAAATGTCCAGTACCGAAAATAAAAAGAGAACTACAGAGGAAAAATCTATATTTTCGGAATCTCTACCGAAATCAAGCACAACTGTTTCAAAGTCTTTTCCTCAATTGAGTACAATATCCAGTAGTTATTTTCCAACATCGGGTACAGAAAAATACGAAACAACTCCAGAAAAAATGTCTACATTTTCGGAATCTCAACCGCGATCAAGTACAACATTATTGGAATCATCACCTCAATCGCCTTCAATATCCAGTACTTCACTTCAAGTGTCGAGTACCGAAAAGGAAGAGAGAACTACCGAGGAAAAACCAACATTTTCGGAATCCCTTCCGCAAACAAGCACAACTTTTTCAAAGTCTTTTCCTCAATTGAGTACAATATCCAGTAGTTATTTTCCAACATCGAGTACAGAAAAATACGAAACAACTCCAGAGGAAATGTCTACATTTTCGGAATCTCAACCGCGATCAAGTACAACATTATTGGAATCATCACCTCAATCGCCTACAATATCCAGTACTTTAGTTCAACTGTCCAGAACCGAAAAGGAAGAGAGAACTACTGAGAAAAAATCTACATTTTCGGAATCTCAACCGCAATCAAGTACAACATTATTGGAATCATCACCTCAATCGCCTACAATATCCAGTACTTCAGTTCAAATGTCCAGTACCGAAAATAAAAAAAGAACTACTGAGGAAAAATCTACATTTTCGGAATCTCAAACACAATCAAGTACAACATTTTTGGAATCATCACCTCAATCGCCTACAATATCCAGTACTTCAGTTCAACTGTCCAGTACCGAAAAGGAAAAGAGAACTACAGAGGAAAGATCTACATTTTCAGAATCCCTACCGCAATCAAGCACAACTGTTTCAAAGTCTTTTCCTCAATTGAGTACAATATCCAGTTGTTATTTTCCAACATCGAGTACAGAAAAATACGAAACAACTCCAGAGGAAATGTCTACATTTTCGGAATCTAAACCGCAATCAAGTACAACATTATTGGAATCATCCCCCCAATCGCATACAATATCCAGTACTTCAGTTCCAATGTCCAGTACCGAAAAGAAAGAGAGATCTACAGAGGAAAAATCTACATTTTCGGAATCTCAACCACAATCAAGTGCAACATTATTGGAATCATCACTTCAATCGCCAACAATATCCAGTACCTTAGTCCAAATGTCCAGTACCGAAAAGAAAGAGAGAACAACAGAGGAAAAATCTACAAAATTATTGGAATCATCACTTCAATCGCCTACAATATCCAGTACTTCAGCCCAAATGTCCAGTACCGAAAAGGAAGAGAGAACTACAGAGGAAAAATCTACATTTTCGGAATCCCTACCGCAATCAAGCACAACTTTTTCAAAGTCTTTTCCTCAATTGAGTACAATATCCAGTAGTTATTTTCCAACATCGAGTACAGAAAAATACGAAACAACTCCAGAGGAAATGTCTTCATTTTCGGAATCTCAACCGCAATCATTATTTGAATCATCACCTCAATTGCCTACAATATCCTGTACTTCAGTCCAAATGTCCAGTACCGAAAAGGAAGAGAGAACTACAGAGGAAAAACCAACATTTCCGGAATCCCTTCCGCAAACAAGCACAACTTTTTCAAAGTCTTTTCCTCAATTGAGTACAATATCCAGTCGTTATTTTCAAACATCGAGCTCAGAAAAATACGCAACAACTCCAGAGGAAAAGTCTACATTTTCGGAATCTCAACCGCAATCAAGTACAACATTATTGGAATCATCACCTCAATCGCCTACAACATCCAGTACTTCAGTCCAAATGTCCAGTACCGAAAAGGAAGAGAGAACTACAGAGGAAAAATCTACATTTTCGGAATCTCAACGGCAATCAAGTACAAAATTATTTGAATCATCACCTCAATCGCCTACAATATCCAGTACTTCAGTCCAAATGTCCAGTACCGAAAAGGAAGAGAGAACTACAGAGGAAAAATCTACATTTTCGGAGTCTCTACCGCAATCAAGCAGAACTGTTTCAAAATACGAAACAACTCCAGAGGAAATGTCTTCATTTTCGGAATCTCAACCGCAATCATTATTTGAATCATCACCTCAATTGCCTACAATATCCTGTACTTCAGTCCAAATGTCCAGTACCGAAAAGGAAGAGAGAACTACAGAGGAAAAACCAACATTTCCGGAATCCCTTCCGCAAACAAGCACAACTTTTTCAAAGTCTTTTCCTCATTTGAGTACAATATCCAGTAGTTATTTTCTATCATCGAGTACAGAAAAATACGCAACAGCTCCAGAGGAAAAGTCTACGTTTTCGGAATCTCAACCGCAATCAAGTACAACATTAATGGAATCATCACCTCAATCGCCTACAATATCCAGTACTTCAGTCCAAATGTCCAGTACCGAAAAGGAAGAGAGAACTACAAAGGAAAAATCTACATTTTCGGAATTTCAACGGCAATCAATTACAAAATTATTTGAATCATCACCTCAATCGCCTACAATATCCAGTACTTCAGTCCAAATGTCCAGTACCGAAAAGGAAGAGAGAACTACAAAGGAAAAATCTACATTTTCGGAATCTCAACCGCATTCAAGTACAACATTATTGGAATCATCACCTCAATCGCCTACAATATCCAGTACTCCAGTTCAAATGTCCAGTACCGAAAAGGAAGAGACAACTACAGAGGAAAAATCTAAATTTTTGGAATCTCTACCGCAATCAAGCACAACTGTTTCAAAGTCTTTTCCTCAATTGAGTACAACATCCAGTAGTTATTTTCCAACATCGAGTACAGAAAAATACGAAACAACTCCAGAGGAAATGTCTTCATTTTCGGAATCTCAACCGCAATCATTATTTGAATCATCACCTCAATCGCCTACAATATCCAGTACTTCAGTACAAATGTCCAGTACCGAAAAGGAAGAGAGAACTACAGAGGAAAAACCAACATTTCCGGAATCCCTTCCGCAAACAAGCACAACTTTTTCAAAGTCTTTTCCTCAATTGAGTACAATATCCAGTAGTTATTTTCAAACATCGAGCTCAGAAAAATATGCAACAACTCCAGAGGAAAAGTCTACATTTTCGGAATCTCAACCGCAATCAAGTACAACATTATTGGAAACATCACCTCAATCGCCTACAATATCCAGTACTTCAGTTCAAATGTCCAGTACCGAAAATAAAAAAAGAACTACTGAGGAAAAATCTACATTTTCGGAATCTCAAACACAATCAAGTACAAAATTATTGGAATCATCACTTCAATCGCCTACAATATCCAGTACTTCAGCCCAAATGTCCAGTACCGAAAAGGAAGAGAGAACTACAAAGGAAAAATCTACATTTTCGGAATCTCAAACACAATCAAGTACAACATATTTGGAATCATCACCTCAATCGCCTACAATATCCAGTACTTCAGTTCAACTGTCCAGTACCGAAAAGGAAAAGAGAACTACAGAGGAAAGATCTACATTTTCGATATCCCTACCGCAATCAAGCACAACTGTTTCAAAGTCTTGTCCTCAATTGAGTACAATATCCAGTAGTTATTTTCCAACATCGAGTACAGAAACATACGAAACAACTCCAGAGGAAATGTCTACATTTTCGGAATCTAAACCGCAATCAAATACAACATTATTGGAATCATCACCTCAATCGCATACAATATCCAGTACTTCAGTTCCAATGTCCAGTACCGAAAAGGAAGAGAGATCTACAGAGGAAAAATCTACATTTTCGGAATCTCAACCACAATCAAGTGCAACATTATTGGAATCATCACTTCAATCGCCAACAATATCCAGTACCTTAGTCCAAATGTCCAGTACCGAAAAGGAAGAGAGAACAACAGAGAAAAAATCTACAAAATTATTGGAATCATCACTTCAATCGCCTACAATATCCAGTACTTCAGCCCAAATGTCCAGTACCGAAAATGAAGAGAGAACTACAGAGGAAAAATCTACATTTTCGGAATCCCCACCGCATTCAAGCACAACTGTTTCAAAGTCTTTTCCTCAATTGAGTACAATATCCAGTAGTTATTTTCAAACATCGAGTACAGAAAAATACGCAACAACTCCAGAGGAAAAGTCTACATTTTCGGAATCTCAACCGCAATCAAGTACAACATTATTGGAATCATCACCTCAATCGCCTACAATATCCAGTACTCCAGTTCAAATGTCCAGTACCGAAAAGGAAAAGAGAACTACAGAGGAAAAATCTACATTTTTGGAATCTCTACCGCAATCAAGCACAACTGTTTCAAAGTCTTTTCCTCAATTGAGTACAATATCCAGTAGTTATTTTCCAACATCGAGTACAGAAAAATACGAAACAACTCCAGAGGAAATGTCTTCATTTTCGGAATCTCAACCGCAATCATTATTTGAATCATCACCTCAATCGCCTACAATATCCAGTACTTCAGTACAAATGTCCAGTACCGAAAAGGAAGAGAGAACTACAGAGGAAAAACCAACATTTCCGGAATCCCTTCCGCAAACAAGCACAACTTTTTCAAAGTCTTTTCCTCAATTGAGTACAATATCCAGTAGTTATTTTCAAACATCGAGCTCAGAAAAATATGCAACAACTCCAGAGGAAAAGTCTACATTTTCGGAATCTCAACCGCAATCAAGTACAACATTATTGGAATCATCACCTCAATCGCCTACAATATCCAGTACTTCAGTTCAAATGTCCAGTACCGAAAATAAAAAAAGAACTACTGAGGAAAAATCTACATTTTCGGAATCTCAAACACAATCAAGTACAAAATTATTGGAATCATCACTTCAATCGCCTACAATATCCAGTACTTCAGCCCAAATGTCCAGTACCGAAAAGGAAGAGAGAACTACAAAGGAAAAATCTACATTTTCGGAATCTCAAACACAATCAAGTACAACATATTTGGAATCATCACCTCAATCGCCTACAATATCCAGTACTTCAGTTCAACTGTCCAGTACCGAAAAGGAAAAGAGAACTACAGAGGAAAGATCTACATTTTCGGAATCTCAACCGCAATCAAGTACAACATTATTGGAATCATCCCCCCAATCGCATACAATATCCAGGACTTCAGTTCAAATATCCAGTACCGAAAAGGAAGAGAGAACTGCAGAGAAAAAATCTACATTTTCGGAATCTCAACGGCAATCAAGTACAAAATTATTTGAATCATCACCTCAATCGCCTACAATATCCAGTACTTCAGTCCAAATGTCCAGTACCGAAAATGAAGAGAGAACTACAGAGGAAAAATCTACATTTTCGGAGTCTCTACCGCAATCAAGCAGAACTGTTTCAAAGTCTTTTCCTCAATTGAGTACAATATCCAGTAGTTATTTTTCAACATCGATTACAGAAAAATACGAAACAACTCCAGAGAAAATTTATTCATTTTCGGAATCTCAACCGCAATCATTATTTGAATCATCACCTCAATCGCCTACAATATCCTGTACTTCAGTCCAAATGTCCAGTACCGAAAAGGAAGAGAGAACTACAGAGGAAAAACCAACATTTCCGGAATCCCTTCCGCAAACAAGCACAACTTTTTCAAAGTCTTTTCCTCAATTGAGTACAATATCCAGTAGTTATTTTCAAACATCGAGCTCAGAAAAATACGAAACAACTCCAGAGGAAAAGTCTACATTTTCGGAATCTCAACCGCAATCAAGTACAACATTATTAAAATCATCACCGCAATCGCCTTCAATATCCAGTACCTTAGTCCAAATGTACAGTACCGAAAAGGAAGAGAGAACTAAAATGGAGAAATCTACATTTACGGAATCCCTACCGCAATCAAGCACAACTTTTTCAAAGTCTTTTCCTCAATTGAGTACAATATCCAGAAGTTATTTTCCAACATCGAGTACAGAAAAATACGAAACAACTCCAGAGGAAATGTCTTCATTTTCGGAATCTCAACCGCAATCATTATTTGAATCATCACCTCAATCGCGTACAATATCCAGTACTTCAGTCCAAATGTCCAGTACCGAAAAAGAAGAGAGAACTACAGAGGAAAAACCAACATTTCCGGAATCCCTTCCGCAATCAAGCACAACTTTTTCAAAGTCTTTTCCTCAATTGAGTACAATATCCAGTAGTTATTTTCAAACATCGAGCTCAGAAATATACGCAACAACTCCAGAGGAAAAGTCTACATTTTCGGAATCTCAACCGCAATCAAGTACAACATTATTTGAATCATCACCGCAATCGCCTACAATATCCAGTACTTCAGTTCAAATGTCCAGTACCGAAAATAAAAAAAGAACTACTGAGGAAAAATCTACATTTTCGGAATCTCAAACACAATCAAGTACAAAATTATTGGAATCATCACTTCAATCGCCTACAATATCCAGTACTTCAGCCCAAATGTCCAGAACCGAAAAAGAAGAGAGAACTACAAAGGAAAAATATACATTTTCGGAATCTCAAACACAATCAAGTACAACATATTTGGAATCATCACCTCAATCGCCTACAATATCCAGTACTTCAGTTCAACTTTCCAGTACCGAAAAGGAAAAGAGAACTACAGAGGAAAGATCTACATTTTCGGAATCCCTACCGCAATCAAGCACAACTGTTTCAAAGTCTTTTCCTCAATTGAGTACAATATCCAGTAGTTATTTTCCAACATCGAGTACAGAAAAATACGAAACAACTCCAGAGGAAATGTCTACATTTTGGGAATCTAAACCGCAATCAAGTACAACATTATTGGAATCATCCCCCCAATCTTATACAATATCCAGTACTTCAGTTCCAATGTCCAGTACCGAAAAGGAAGAGAGATCTACAGAGGAAAAATCTACATTTTCGGAATCCCTACCGCAATCAAGCACAACTTTTTCAAAGTCTTTTCCTCAATTGAGTACAATATCCAGTAGTTATTTTCAAACATCGAGTACAGAAAAATACGCAACAACTCCAGAGGAAATGTCTACATTTTCGGAATCTCAACCGCAATCAAGTACAACATTATTGGAATCATCACCTCAATCGCCTACAATATCCAGTACCTTAGTCCAAATGTACAGTACCGAAAAGGAAGAGAGAACTACAAAGGAAAAATCTACATTTTCGGAATCCCTACCGCAATCAAGCACAACTTTTTCAAAGTCTTTTCCTCAATTGAGTACAATATCCAGAAGTTATTTTCCAACATCGAGTACAGAAAAATACGAAACAACTCCAGAGGAAATGTATACGTTTTCGGAATCTCAACCGCAATCAAGTACAACATTATTTGAATCATCAACTCAATCACCTACAATATCCAGTACTTCAGTTCAAATATCCAGTACCGAAAAGGAAGAGAGAACTGCAGAGGAAAAATCTACATTTTCGGAATCTCAACGGCAATCAAGTACAAAATTATTTGAATCATCACCTCAATCGCCCACAATATCCAGTACTTCAGTCCAAATGTCCAGTACCGAAAAGGAAGAGAGAACTACAGAGGAAAAATCTACATTTTCGGAATCCCTTCCGCAAACAAGCACAACTTTTTCAAAGTTTTTTCCTCAATTGAGTACAATATCCAGTAGTTATTTTCAAACATCCAGTACAGAAAAATACGCAACAACTCCAGAGGAAAAGTCTACATTTTCGGAATCTAAACCGCAATCAAGTACAACATTATTGGAATCATCCCTCCAATCGCCTCCAATATCCAGTACTTCAGTTTTAATGTCCAGTACCGAAAAGGAAGAGAGATCTACAGAGGAAAAATCTACATTTTCGGAATCTCAACCGCAATCAAGTACAACATTATTGGAATCATCACCTCAATCGCCTACAATATCCAGTACTTCAGCCCAAATGTCCAGTACCGAAAAGGAAGAGACAACTACAGAGGAAAAATCTACATTTTCGGAATCCCCACCGCAATCAAGCACAACTGTTTCAAAGTCCTTTCCTCAATTGAGTACAATATCCAGTAGTTATTTTCCAACATCGAGTACAGAAAAATATGAAACAACTCCAGAGGAAATGTCTTCATTTTCGGAATCTCAACCGCAATCATTATTTGAATCATCACCTCAATCGCCTACAATATCCAGTACTTCAGTCCAAATGTCCAGTACCGAAAAGGAAGAGAGAACTGCAGAGGAAAAATCTACATTTTCTGAATCTCAACCGCAATCAAGTACAACATTATTTGAAACATCACCTCAATCGCCTACAATATCCAGTACATCAGTTCAAATGTCCAGTACCGAAAAGGAAAAGAGAACTACAGAGGAAAAATCTACATTTTTGGAATCTCTACCGCAATCAAGCACAACTGTTTCAAAGTCTTTTCCTCAATTGAGTACAATATCCAGTAGTTATTTTCAAACATCGAGCTCAGAAAAATACGCAACAACTCCAGAGGAAAAGTCTACATTCTCGGAATTTCAACCGCAATCAAGTACAACATTTTTGGAATCATCACCTCAATCGCCTACAATATCCAGTACTTCAGTCCAAATGTCCAGTACCGAAAAGGAAGAGAGAACTGCAGAGGAAAAATCTACATTTTCTGAATCTCAACCGCAATCAAGTACAACATTATTTGAAACATCACTTCAATCGCCTACAAAATCCAGTACTTCAGCCCAAATGTCCAGTACCGAAAAGGAAGAGACAACTACAGAGGAAAAATCTACATTTTCGGAATCCCTACCGCAATCAAGCACAACTTTTTCAAAGTCTTTTCCTCAATTGAGTACAATATCCAGTAGTTATTTTCCAACATCGAGTACAGAAAAATACGAAACAACTCCAGAGGAAATGTCTTCATTTTCGGAATCTCAACCGCAATCATTATTTGAATCATCACCTCAATCGCCGACAATATCCAGTACTTCAGTCCAAATGTCCAGTACCGAAAAGGAAGAGAGAACTACAGAGGAAAAACCAACATTTCCGGAATCCCTTCCGCAAACAAGCACAACTTTTTCAAAGTCTTTTCCTCAATTGAGTACAATATCCAGTAGTTATTTTCAAACATCGAGCTCAGAAATATACGCAACAACTCCAGAGGAAAAGTCTACATTTTCGGAATCTCAACTGCAATCAAGTACAACATTATTTGAATCATCACCTCAATCGCCTACAATATCCAGTACTTCAGTTCAAATGTCCAGTACCGAAAATAAAAAAAGAACTACTGAGGAAAAATCTACATTTTCGGAATCTCAAACACAATCAAGTACAAAATTATTGGAATCATCACTTCAATCGCCTACAATATCCAGTACTTCAGCCCAAATGTCCAGAACCGAAAAAGAAGAGAGAACTACAAAGGAAAAATATACATTTTCGGAATCTCAAACACAATCAAGTACAACATATTTGGAATCATCACCTCAATCGCCTACAATATCCAGTACTTCAGTTCAACTTTCCAGTACCGAAAAGGAAAAGAGAAGTACAGAGGAAAGATCTACATTTTCGGAATCCCTACCGCAATCAAGCACAACTGTTTCAAAGTCTTTTCCTCAATTGAGTACAATATCCAGTAGTTATTTTCCAACATCGAGTACAGAAAAATACGAAACAACTCCAGAGGAAATGTCTACATTTTGGGAATCTAAACCGCAATCAAGTACAACATTATTGGAATCATCCCCCCAATCTTATACAATATCCAGTACTTCAGTTCCAATGTCCAGTACCGAAAAGGAAGAGAGATCTACAGAGGAAAAATCTACATTTTCGGAATCCCTACCGCAATCAAGCACAACTTTTTCAAAGTCTTTTCCTCAATTGAGTACAATATCCAGTAGTTATTTTCAAACATCGAGTACAGAAAAATACGCAACAACTCCAGAGGAAATGTCTACATTTTCGGAATCTCAACCGCAATCAAGTACAACATTATTGGAATCATCACCTCAATCGCCTACAATATCCAGTACCTTAGTCCAAATGTACAGTACCGAAAAGGAAGAGAGAACTACAAAGGAAAAATCTACATTTTCGGAATCCCTACCGCAATCAAGCACAACTTTTTCAAAGTCTTTTCCTCAATTGAGTACAATATCCAGAAGTTATTTTCCAACATCGAGTACAGAAAAATACGAAACAACTCCAGAGGAAATGTATACGTTTTCGGAATCTCAACCGCAATCAAGTACAACATTATTTGAATCATCAACTCAATCACCTACAATATCCAGTACTTCAGTTCAAATATCCAGTACCGAAAAGGAAGAGAGAACTGCAGAGGAAAAATCTACATTTTCGGAATCTCAACGGCAATCAAGTACAAAATTATTTGAATCATCACCTCAATCGCCTACAATATCCAGTACTTCAGTCCAAATGTCCAGTACCGAAAAGGAAGAGAGAACTACAGAGGAAAAATCTACATTTTCGGAATCCCTTCCGCAAACAAGCACAACTTTTTCAAAGTTTTTTCCTCAATTGAGTACAATATCCAGTAGTTATTTTCAAACATCGAGTACAGAAAAATACGCAACAACTCCAGAGGAAAAGTCTACATTTTCGGAATCTAAACCGCAATCAAGTACAACATTATTGGAATCATCCCTCCAATCGCCTCCAATATCCAGTACTTCAGTTTTAATGTCCAGTACCGAAAAGGAAGAGAGATCTACAGAGGAAAAATCTACATTTTCGGAATCTCAACCGCAATCAAGTACAACATTATTGGAATCATCACCTCAATCGCCTACAATATCCAGTACTTCAGCCCAAATGTCCAGTATCGAAAAGGAAGAGACAACTACAGAGGAAAAATCTACATTTTCGGAATCCCCACCGCAATCAAGCACAACTGTTTCAAAGTCCTTTCCTCAATTGAGTACAATATCCAGTAGTTATTTTCCAACATCGAGTACAGAAAAATATGAAACAACTCCAGAGGAAATGTCTTCATTTTCGGAATCTCAACCGCAATCATTATTTGAATCATCACCTCAATCGCCTACAATATCCAGTACTTCAGTCCAAATGTCCAGTACCGAAAAGGAAGAGAGAACTGCAGAGGAAAAATCTATATTTTCTGAATCTCAACCGCAATCAAGTACAACATTATTTGAAACATCACCTCAATCGCCTACAATATCCAGTACATCAGTTCAAATGTCCAGTACCGAAAAGGAAAAGAGAACTACAGAGGAAAAATCTACATTTTTGGAATCTCTACCGCAATCAAGCACAACTGTTTCAAAGTCTTTTCCTCAATTGAGTACAATATCCAGTAGTTATTTTCAAACATCGAGCTCAGAAAAATACGCAACAACTCCAGAGGAAAAGTCTACATTCTCGGAATTTCAACCGCAATCAAGTAAAACATTTTGGGAATCATCACCTCAATCGCCTACAATATCCAGTACTTCAGTCCAAATGTCCAGTACCGAAAAGGAAGAGAGAACTGCAGAGGAAAAATCTACATTTTCTGAATCTCAACCGCAATCAAGTACAACATTATTTGAAACATCACTTCAATCGCCTACAAAATCCAGTACTTCAGCCCAAATGTCCAGTACCGAAAAGGAAGAGACAACTACAGAGGAAAAATCTACATTTTCGGAATCCCTACCGCAATCAAGCACAACTTTTTCAAAGTCTTTTCCTCAATTGAGTACAATATCCAGTAGTTATTTTCCAACATCGAGTACAGAAAAATACGAAACAACTCCAGAGGAAATGTCTTCATTTTCGGAATCTCAACCGCAATCATTATTTGAATCATCACCTCAATCGCCGACAATATCCAGTACTTCAGTCCAAATGTCCAGTACCGAAAAGGAAGAGAGAACTACAGAGGAAAAACCAACATTTCCGGAATCCCTTCCGCAAACAAGCACAACTTTTTCAAAGTCTTTTCCTCAATTGAGTACAATATCCAGTAGTTATTTTCAAACATCGAGCTCAGAAAAATACGCAACCACTCCAGAGGAAAAGTCTACATTTTCGGAATTTCAACCGCAATCAAGTACAACATTTTTGGAATCATCACCTCAATCGCCTACAATATCCAGTACTTCAGTCCAAATGTCCAGTACCGAAAAGGAAGAGAGAACTACAGAGGAAAAACCAACATTTCCGGAATCCCTTCCGCAAACAAGCACAACTTTTTCAAAGTCTTTTCCTCAATTGAGTACAATATCCAGTAGTTATTTTCCAACATCGAGTACAGAAAAATACGAAACAACTCCAGAGGAAATGTCTTCATTTTCGGAATCTCAACCGCAATCATTATTTGAATCATCACCTCAATCGCCGACAATATCCAGTACTTCAGTCCAAATGTCCAGTACCGAAAAGGAAGAGAGAACTACAGAGGAAAAACCAACATTTCCGGAATCCCTTCCGCAAACAAGCACAACTTTTTCAAAGTCTTTTCCTCAATTGAGTACAATATCACGTAGTTATTTTCAAACATCGAGCTCAGAAAAATACGCAACCACTCCAGAGGAAAAATCTACATTTTCGGAATCTCTACCGCAATCAAGCACAACTGTTTCAAAGTCTTTTCCTCAATTGAGTACAATATCCAGTAGTTATTTTCCAACATCGAGTACAGAAAAATACGAAACAATTCCAGAGGAAATGTCTTCATTTTCGGAATCTCAACCGCAATCAAGTACAACATTATTGGAATCATCACCTCAATCGCCTACAATATCCAGTTCTTCACTTCAAATGTCCAGTACCGAAAAGGAAGAGAGAACTACAGAGGAAAAATATACATTTTCGGAATCTCAAACACAATCAAGTACAAAATTATTGGAATCATCGCCTCAATCGCCTACAGTATTCAGTACTGCAGTTCAACTGTCCAGTACCGAAAAGGAAGAAAGAACTACAGAGGAAAAATCTACATTTTCGGAATCTCAAACACAATCAAGTACAACATTATTGGAATCATCGCCTCAATCGCCTACAGTATTCAGTACTTCAGTTCAACTGTCCAGTACCGAAAAGGAAGAAAGAACTACAGAGGAAAAATCTACATTTTCGGAATCCCTACCGCAATCAAGCACAACTTTTTCAAAGTCTTTTCCTCAATTGAGTACAATATCCAGTAGTTATTTTCAAACATCCAGTTCAGAAAAATACGCAACAGCTCCAGAGGAAAAGTCTACATTTTCGGAATTTCAACCGCAATCAAGTACAACATTTTTGGAATCATCACCTCAATCGCCTACAATATCCAGTACTTCATTCCAAATGTCCAGTACCGAAAAGGAAGAGAGAACTACAGAGGAAAAATCTACATTTTCGGAATCCCTACCGCAATCAAGCACAACATTATTGGAATCATCCCCCCAATCGCCTACAATATCCAGTACTTCAGTTCCAATGTCCAGTACCGAAAAGGAAGAGAGATCTACAGAGGAAAAATCTACATTTTCGGAATCTCAACCACAATCAAGTGCAACATTATTGGAATCATCACTTCAATCGCCAACAGTATACAGTACCTTAGTCCAAATGTCCAGTACCGAAAAGGAATCTCAACCGCAATCAAGTACAACATTATTTGAATCATCAACTCAATCACCTACAATATCCAGTACTTCAGTTCAAATATCCAGTACCGAAAAGGAAGAGAGAACTGCAGAGGAAAAATCTACATTTTCGGAATCTCAACGGCAATCAAGTACAAAATTATTTGAATCATCACCTCAATCGCCTACAATATCCAGTACTTCAGTCCAAATGTCCAGTACCGAAAAGGAAGAGAGAACTACAGAGGAAAAATCTACATTTTCGGAATCCCTTCCGCAAACAAGCACAACTTTTTCAAAGTTTTTTCCTCAATTGAGTACAATATCCAGTAGTTATTTTCAAACATCGAGTACAGAAAAATACGCAACAACTCCAGAGGAAAAGTCTACATTTTCGGAATCTAAACCGCAATCAAGTACAACATTATTGGAATCATCCCTCCAATCGCCTCCAATATCCAGTACTTCAGTTTTAATGTCCAGTACCGAAAAGGAAGAGAGATCTACAGAGGAAAAATCTACATTTTCGGAATCTCAACCGCAATCAAGTACAACATTATTGGAATCATCACCTCAATCGCCTACAATATCCAGTACTTCAGCCCAAATGTCCAGTATCGAAAAGGAAGAGACAACTACAGAGGAAAAATCTACATTTTCGGAATCCCCACCGCAATCAAGCACAACTGTTTCAAAGTCCTTTCCTCAATTGAGTACAATATCCAGTAGTTATTTTCCAACATCGAGTACAGAAAAATATGAAACAACTCCAGAGGAAATGTCTTCATTTTCGGAATCTCAACCGCAATCATTATTTGAATCATCACCTCAATCGCCTACAATATCCAGTACTTCAGTCCAAATGTCCAGTACCGAAAAGGAAGAGAGAACTGCAGAGGAAAAATCTATATTTTCTGAATCTCAACCGCAATCAAGTACAACATTATTTGAAACATCACCTCAATCGCCTACAATATCCAGTACATCAGTTCAAATGTCCAGTACCGAAAAGGAAAAGAGAACTACAGAGGAAAAATCTACATTTTTGGAATCTCTACCGCAATCAAGCACAACTGTTTCAAAGTCTTTTCCTCAATTGAGTACAATATCCAGTAGTTATTTTCAAGCATCGAGCTCAGAAAAATACGCAACAACTCCAGAGGAAAAGTCTACATTCTCGGAATTTCAACCGCAATCAAGTAAAACATTTTGGGAATCATCACCTCAATCGCCTACAATATCCAGTACTTCAGTCCAAATGTCCAGTACCGAAAAGGAAGAGAGAACTGCAGAGGAAAAATCTACATTTTCTGAATCTCAACCGCAATCAAGTACAACATTATTTGAAACATCACTTCAATCGCCTACAAAATCCAGTACTTCAGCCCAAATGTCCAGTACCGAAAAGGAAGAGACAACTACAGAGGAAAAATCTACATTTTCGGAATCCCTACCGCAATCAAGCACAACTTTTTCAAAGTCTTTTCCTCAATTGAGTACAATATCCAGTAGTTATTTTCCAACATCGAGTACAGAAAAATACGAAACAACTCCAGAAGAAATGTCTTCATTTTCGGAATCTCAACCGCAATCATTATTTGAATCATCACCTCAATCGCCGACAATATCCAGTACTTCAGTCCAAATGTCCAGTACCGAAAAGGAAGAGAGAACTACAGAGGAAAAACCAACATTTCCGGAATCCCTTCCGCAAACAAGCACAACTTTTTCAAAGTCTTTTCCTCAATTGAGTACAATATCCAGTAGTTATTTTCAAACATCGAGCTCAGAAAAATACGCAACCACTCCAGAGGAAAAGTCTACATTTTCGGAATTTCAACCGCAATCAAGTACAACATTTTTGGAATCATCACCTCAATCGCCTACAATATCCAGTACTTCAGTCCAAATGTCCAGTACCGAAAAGGAAGAGAGAACTACAGAGGAAAAACCAACATTTCCGGAATCCCTTCCGCAAACAAGCACAACTTTTTCAAAGTCTTTTCCTCAATTGAGTACAATATCCAGTAGTTATTTTCCAACATCGAGTACAGAAAAATACGAAACAACTCCAGAGGAAATGTCTTCATTTTCGGAATCTCAACCGCAATCATTATTTGAATCATCACCTCAATCGCCGACAATATCCAGTACTTCAGTCCAAATGTCCAGTACCGAAAAGGAAGAGAGAACTACAGAGGAAAAACCAACATTTCCGGAATCCCTTCCGCAAACAAGCACAACTTTTTCAAAGTCTTTTCCTCAATTGAGTACAATATCACGTAGTTATTTTCAAACATCGAGCTCAGAAAAATACGCAACCACTCCAGAGGAAAAATCTACATTTTCGGAATCTCTACCGCAATCAAGCACAACTGTTTCAAAGTCTTTTCCTCAATTGAGTACAATATCCAGTAGTTATTTTCCAACATCGAGTACAGAAAAATACGAAACAATTCCAGAGGAAATGTCTTCATTTTCGGAATCTCAACCGCAATCAAGTACAACATTATTGGAATCATCACCTCAATCGCCTACAATATCCAGTTCTTCACTTCAAATGTCCAGTACCGAAAAGGAAGAGAGAACTACAGAGGAAAAATATACATTTTCGGAATCTCAAACACAATCAAGTACAAAATTATTGGAATCATCGCCTCAATCGCCTACAGTATTCAGTACTGCAGTTCAACTGTCCAGTACCGAAAAGGAAGAAAGAACTACAGAGGAAAAATCTACATTTTCGGAATCTCAAACACAATCAAGTACAACATTATTGGAATCATCGCCTCAATCGCCTACAGTATTCAGTACTTCAGTTCAACTGTCCAGTACCGAAAAGGAAGAAAGAACTACAGAGGAAAAATCTACATTTTCGGAATCCCTACCGCAATCAAGCACAACTTTTTCAAAGTCTTTTCCTCAATTGAGTACAATATCCAGTAGTTATTTTCAAACATCCAGTTCAGAAAAATACGCAACAGCTCCAGAGGAAAAGTCTACATTTTCGGAATTTCAACCGCAATCAAGTACAACATTTTTGGAATCATCACCTCAATCGCCTACAATATCCAGTACTTCATTCCAAATGTCCAGTACCGAAAAGGAAGAGAGAACTACAGAGGAAAAATCTACATTTTCGGAATCCCTACCGCAATCAAGCACAACATTATTGGAATCATCCCCCCAATCGCCTACAATATCCAGTACTTCAGTTCCAATGTCCAGTACCGAAAAGGAAGAGAGATCTACAGAGGAAAAATCTACATTTTCGGAATCTCAACCACAATCAAGTGCAACATTATTGGAATCATCACTTCAATCGCCAACAGTATACAGTACCTTAGTCCAAATGTCCAGTACCGAAAAGGAAGAGAGAACTACAGAGGAAAAATCTACATTTTCGGAATCCCCACCGCAATCAAGCACAACTGTTTCAAAGTCTTTTCCTCAATTGAGTACAATATCCAGTAGTTATTTTCAAACATCGAGTACAGAAAAATACGCAACAAGTCCAGAAGAAAAGTCTACATTTTCGGAATCTCAACCGCAATCAAGTACAACATTATTGGAATCATCACCTCAATCGCCTACAATATCCAGTACTTCAGTTCAAATATCCAGTACCGAAAAGGAAGAGAGAACTGCAGAGGAAAAATCTACATTTCCGGAATCTCAACGGCAATCAAGGACAAAATTATTTGAATCATCACCTCAATCGCCTACAATATCCAGTACTTCAGTTCAAATGTCCAGTACCGAAAAGGAAAAGAGATCTACAGAGGAAAAATCTACATTTTCGAAATCTCTACCGCAATCAAGCACAACTGTTTCAAAGTCTTTTCCTCAATTGAGTACAATATCCAGTACTTATTTTCAAACATCGAGTACAGAAAAATACGCAACAACTGCAGAGGAAAAGTCTACATTTTCGAAATCTAAACCGCAATCAAGTGCAACATTATTGGAATCATCACTTCAATCGCCTACAATATCCAGTACTTCAGCCCAAATGTCCAGTACCGAAAAGGAAGAGAGAACTACAGAGGAAAAATCTATATTTTCGGAATCCCCACGGCAATCAAGCACAACTGTTTCAAAGTCTTTTCCTCAATTGAGTACAATATCCAGTAGTTATTTTCAAACATCGAGTACAGAAAAATACGCAACAAGTCCAAAAGAAAAGTCTACATTTTCGGAATCTCAGCCGCAATCAAGTACAACATTATTGGAATCATCACCTCAATCGCCTACAATATCCAGTACCTTAGTCCAAATGTACAGTACCGAAAAGGAAGAGAGAACTACAAAGGAAAAATCTACATTTTCGGAATCCCTACGGCAATCAAGCAGAACTTTTTCAAAGTCTTTTCCTCAATTGAGTACAATATCCAGTAGTTATTTTCCAACATCGAGTACAGAAAAATACGAAACAACTCCAGAGGAAATGTCTTCATTTTCGGAATCTCAACCGCAATCATTATTTGAATTATCACCTCAATCGCCTACAATATCCAGTACTTCAGTTCAAATATCCAGTATCGAAAAGGAAGAGAGAACTGCAGAGGAAAAATCTACATTTTCGGAATCTCAACGGCAATCAAGTACAAAATTATTTGAATCATCACCTCAATCGCCTACAATATCCAGTACTTCAGTGCAAATGTCCAGTACCGAAAAGGAACGGAGAACTACAGAGGAAAAATCTACATTTTCGGAATCTCTACCGCAATCAAGCAGAACTGTTTCAAAGTCTTTTCCTCAATTGAGTACAATATCCAGTAGTTATTTTCCAACATCGAGTACAGAAAAATACGAAACAACTCCAGAGGAAATGTCTACATTTTCGGAATCTAAACCGCAATCAAGTACAACATTATTGGAATCATCACCTCAATCGGCTACAACATCCAGTTCTTCAGTTCAAATGTCCAGTACCGAAAAGGAAAAGAGAACTACAGAGGAAAAATCTACATTTTCGGAATCTCTACCGCAATCAAGTAGAACATTTTTGGAATCATCACCTCAATCGCCTACAATATCCAGTACTTCAGTTCAAATGTCCAGTACCGATAAGGAAGAGAGAACTACAGAGGAAAAATCTACATTTTCGGAATCTCAACCGCAATCAAGTACAACGTTATTTGAAACATCACCTCAATCGCCTACAATATCCAGTACTTCAGTCCAAATGTCCAGTACCGAAAAGGAAGGGAGAACTACAGAGGAAAAATCTAGATTTTCGGAATCTCTACCGCAATCAAGCAGAACTGTTTCAAAGTCTTTTCCTCAATTGAGTACAATATCCAGTAGTTATTTTCCAACATCGAGTACAGAAAAATACGAAACAACTCCAGAGGAAATGTCTACATTTTCGGAATCTAAACCGCAATCAAGTACAACATTATTGGAATCATCACCTCAATCGCCTACAACATCCAGTTCTTCAGTTCAAATGTCCAGTACCGAAAAGGAAAAGAGAACTACAGAGGAAAAATCTACATTTTCGGAATCTCTACCGCAATCAAGCACAACTGTTTCAAAGTCTTTTCCTCAATTGAGTACAATATCCAGTAGTTATTTTCAAACATCGAGTACAGAAAAATACGCAACAAGTCCAGAGGAAAAGTCTACATTTTCGGAATCTCAACCGCAATCAAGTACAACATTATTGGAATCATCACCTCAATCGCCTACAATATCCAGTACCTTAGTCCAAATGTACAGTACCGAAAAGGAAGAGAGAACTACAAAGGAAAAATCTACATTTTCGGAATCCCCACCGCAATCAAGCACAACTGTTTCAAAGTCTTTTCCTCAATTGAGTACAATATCCAGTAGTTATTTTCCAACATCGAGTACAGAAAAATACGAAACAACTCCAGAGGAAATGTCTACATTTTCGGAATCTAAACCGCAATCAAGTACAACATTATTGGAATCATCACCTCAATCGCCTACAACATCCAGTTCTTCAGTTCAAATGTCCAGTACCGAAAAGGAAAAGAGAACTACAGAGGAAAAATCTACATTTTCGGAATCTCTACCGCAATCAAGTACAACATTTTTGGAATCATCACCTCAATCGCCTACAATATCCAGTACTTCAGTTCAAATGTCCAGTACCGAAAAAGAAGAGAGAACTACAGAGGAAAAATCTACATTTTCGGAATCTCAACCGCAATCAAGTACAAAATTATTTGAATCATCAGCTCAATCGCCTACAATATCCAGTACTTCAGTTCAAATGTCCAGTACCGAAAAGGAAAAGAGAACTACAGAGGAAAAATCTACATTTTCGAAATCTCTACCGCAATCAAGCACAACTGTTTCAAAGTCTTTTCCTCAATTGAGTACAATATCCAGTAGTTATTTTCAAACATCGAGTACAGAAAAATACGCAACAACTCCAGAGGAAAAGTCTACATTTTCGGAATCTAAACCGCAATCAAGTACAAAAATATTGGAATCATCCCCCCAATCGCCTACAATATCCAGTACTTCAGTTCCAATGTCCAGTACCGAAAAGGAAGAGAGAACTACAAAGGAAAAATCTACATTTTCGGAATCCCTACCGCAATCAAGCACAACTTTTTCAAAGTCTTTTCCTCAATTGAGTACAATATCCAGTAGTTATTTTCCAACATCGAGTACAGAAAAATACGAAACAACTCCAGAGGAAATGTCTACATTTTCGGAATCTAAACCGCAATCAAGTACAACATTATTGGAATCATCACCTCAATCGCCTACAACATCCAGTTCTTCAGTTCAAATGTCCAGTACCGAAAAGGAAAAGAGAACTACAGAGGAAAAATCTACATTTTCGGAATCTCAACCACAATCGAGTGCAACATTATTGGAATCATCACTTCAATCGCCAACAATATCCAGTACCTTAGTCCAAATGTCCAGTACCGAAAAGGAAGAGAGAACTACAGAGGAAAAATCTACAAAATTATTGGAATCATCACTTCAATCGCCTACAATATCCAGTACTTCAGCCCAAATGTCCAGTACCGAAAAGAAAGAGAGAACTACAGAGGAAAAATCTACATTTTCGGAATCCCCACCGCAATCAAGCACAACTGTTTCAAAGTCTTTTCCTCAATTGAGTACAATATCCAGTAGATATTTTCAAACATCGAGTACAGAAAAATACGCAACAAGTCCAGAGGAAAAGTCTACATTTTCGGAATCTCAACCGCAATCAAGTACAACATTATTGGAATCATCACCTCAATCGCCTACAATATCCAGTACCTTAGTCCAAATGTACAGTACCGAAAAGGAAGAGAGAACTACAAAGGAAAAATCTACATTTTCGGAATCCCCACCGCAATCAAGCACAACTGTTTCAAAGTCTTTTCCTCAATTGAGTACAATATCCAGTAGCTATTTTCCAACATCGAGTACAGAAAAATACGAAACAACTCCAGAGGAAATGTCTTCTTTTTCGGAATCTCAACCGCAATCAAGTACAACATTATTGGAATCATCACCTCAATCGCCTACAACATCCAGTACTTCAGTTCAAATGTCCAGTACCGAAAAGGAAGAGAGAACTGCAGAGGAAAAATCTACATTTTCGGAATCCCTACCGCAATCAAGCACAACTGTTTCAAAGTCTTTTCCTCAATTGAGTACAATATCCAGTAGTTATTTTCCAACATCGAGTACAGAAAAATACGAAACAATTCCAGAGGAAATGTCTTCATTTTCGGAATCTCAACCGCAATCAAGTACAACATTATTGGAATCATCACCTCAATCGCCTACAATATCCAGTTCTTCACTTCAAATGTCCAGTACCGAAAAGGAAGAGAGAACTACAGAGGAAAATATACATTTTCGGAATCTCAAACACAATCAAGTACAAAATTATTGGAATCATCGCCTCAATCGCCTACAGTATTCAGTACTGCAGTTCAACTGTCCAGTACCGAAAAGGAAGAAAGAACTACAGAGGAAAAATCTACATTTTCGGAATCTCAAACACAATCAAGTACAACATTATTGGAATCATCGCCTCAATCGCCTACAGTATTCAGTACTTCAGTTCAACTGTCCAGTACCGAAAAGGAAGAAAGAACTACAGAGGAAAAATCTACATTTTCGGAATCCCTACCGCAATCAAGCACAACTTTTTCAAAGTCTTTTCCTCAATTGAGTACAATATCCAGTAGTTATTTTCAAACATCCAGTTCAGAAAAATACGCAACAGCTCCAGAGGAAAAGTCTACATTTTCGGAATTTCAACCGCAATCAAGTACAACATTTTTGGAATCATCACCTCAATCGCCTACAATATCCAGTACTTCATTCCAAATGTCCAGTACCGAAAAGGAAGAGAGAACTACAGAGGAAAAATCTACATTTTCGGAATCCCTACCGCAATCAAGCACAACATTATTGGAATCATCCCCCCAATCGCCTACAATATCCAGTACTTCAGTTCCAATGTCCAGTACCGAAAAGGAAGAGAGATCTACAGAGGAAAAATCTACATTTTCGGAATCTCAACCACAATCAAGTGCAACATTATTGGAATCATCACTTCAATCGCCAACAGTATACAGTACCTTAGTCCAAATGTCCAGTACCGAAAAGGAAGAGAGAACTACAGAGGAAAAATCTACATTTTCGGAATCCCCACCGCAATCAAGCACAACTGTTTCAAAGTCTTTTCCTCAATTGAGTACAATATCCAGTAGTTATTTTCAAACATCGAGTACAGAAAAATACGCAACAAGTCCAGAAGAAAAGTCTACATTTTCGGAATCTCAACCGCAATCAAGTACAACATTATTGGAATCATCACCTCAATCGCCTACAATATCCAGTACTTCAGTTCAAATATCCAGTACCGAAAAGGAAGAGAGAACTGCAGAGGAAAAATCTACATTTCCGGAATCTCAACGGCAATCAAGGACAAAATTATTTGAATCATCACCTCAATCGCCTACAATATCCAGTACTTCAGTTCAAATGTCCAGTACCGAAAAGGAAAAGAGATCTACAGAGGAAAAATCTACATTTTCGAAATCTCTACCGCAATCAAGCACAACTGTTTCAAAGTCTTTTCCTCAATTGAGTACAATATCCAGTACTTATTTTCAAACATCGAGTACAGAAAAATACGCAACAACTGCAGAGGAAAAGTCTACATTTTCGAAATCTAAACCGCAATCAAGTGCAACATTATTGGAATCATCACTTCAATCGCCTACAATATCCAGTACTTCAGCCCAAATGTCCAGTACCGAAAAGGAAGAGAGAACTACAGAGGAAAAATCTATATTTTCGGAATCCCCACGGCAATCAAGCACAACTGTTTCAAAGTCTTTTCCTCAATTGAGTACAATATCCAGTAGTTATTTTCAAACATCGAGTACAGAAAAATACGCAACAAGTCCAAAAGAAAAGTCTACATTTTCGGAATCTCAGCCGCAATCAAGTACAACATTATTGGAATCATCACCTCAATCGCCTACAATATCCAGTACCTTAGTCCAAATGTACAGTACCGAAAAGGAAGAGAGAACTACAAAGGAAAAATCTACATTTTCGGAATCCCTACGGCAATCAAGCAGAACTTTTTCAAAGTCTTTTCCTCAATTGAGTACAATATCCAGTAGTTATTTTCCAACATCGAGTACAGAAAAATACGAAACAACTCCAGAGGAAATGTCTTCATTTTCGGAATCTCAACCGCAATCATTATTTGAATTATCACCTCAATCGCCTACAATATCCAGTACTTCAGTTCAAATATCCAGTATCGAAAAGGAAGAGAGAACTGCAGAGGAAAAATCTACATTTTCGGAATCTCAACGGCAATCAAGTACAAAATTATTTGAATCATCACCTCAATCGCCTACAATATCCAGTACTTCAGTGCAAATGTCCAGTACCGAAAAGGAACGGAGAACTACAGAGGAAAAATCTACATTTTCGGAATCTCTACCGCAATCAAGCAGAACTGTTTCAAAGTCTTTTCCTCAATTGAGTACAATATCCAGTAGTTATTTTCCAACATCGAGTACAGAAAAATACGAAACAACTCCAGAGGAAATGTCTACATTTTCGGAATCTAAACCGCAATCAAGTACAACATTATTGGAATCATCACCTCAATCGGCTACAACATCCAGTTCTTCAGTTCAAATGTCCAGTACCGAAAAGGAAAAGAGAACTACAGAGGAAAAATCTACATTTTCGGAATCTCTACCGCAATCAAGTAGAACATTTTTGGAATCATCACCTCAATCGCCTACAATATCCAGTACTTCAGTTCAAATGTCCAGTACCGATAAGGAAGAGAGAACTACAGAGGAAAAATCTACATTTTCGGAATCTCAACCGCAATCAAGTACAACGTTATTTGAAACATCACCTCAATCGCCTACAATATCCAGTACTTCAGTCCAAATGTCCAGTACCGAAAAGGAAGGGAGAACTACAGAGGAAAAATCTAGATTTTCGGAATCTCTACCGCAATCAAGCAGAACTGTTTCAAAGTCTTTTCCTCAATTGAGTACAATATCCAGTAGTTATTTTCCAACATCGAGTACAGAAAAATACGAAACAACTCCAGAGGAAATGTCTACATTTTCGGAATCTAAACCGCAATCAAGTACAACATTATTGGAATCATCACCTCAATCGCCTACAACATCCAGTTCTTCAGTTCAAATGTCCAGTACCGAAAAGGAAAAGAGAACTACAGAGGAAAAATCTACATTTTCGGAATCTCTACCGCAATCAAGCACAACTGTTTCAAAGTCTTTTCCTCAATTGAGTACAATATCCAGTAGTTATTTTCAAACATCGAGTACAGAAAAATACGCAACAAGTCCAGAGGAAAAGTCTACATTTTCGGAATCTCAACCGCAATCAAGTACAACATTATTGGAATCATCACCTCAATCGCCTACAATATCCAGTACCTTAGTCCAAATGTACAGTACCGAAAAGGAAGAGAGAACTACAAAGGAAAAATCTACATTTTCGGAATCCCCACCGCAATCAAGCACAACTGTTTCAAAGTCTTTTCCTCAATTGAGTACAATATCCAGTAGTTATTTTCCAACATCGAGTACAGAAAAATACGAAACAACTCCAGAGGAAATGTCTACATTTTCGGAATCTAAACCGCAATCAAGTACAACATTATTGGAATCATCACCTCAATCGCCTACAACATCCAGTTCTTCAGTTCAAATATCCAGTACCGAAAAGGAAAAGAGAACTACAGAGGAAAAATCTACATTTTCGGAATCTCTACCGCAATCAAGTACAACATTTTTGGAATCATCACCTCAATCGCCTACAATATCCAGTACTTCAGTTCAAATGTCCAGTACCGAAAAAGAAGAGAGAACTACAGAGGAAAAATCTACATTTTCGGAATCTCAACCGCAATCAAGTACAAAATTATTTGAATCATCAGCTCAATCGCCTACAATATCCAGTACTTCAGTTCAAATGTCCAGTACCGAAAAGGAAAAGAGAACTACAGAGGAAAAATCTACATTTTCGAAATCTCTACCGCAATCAAGCACAACTGTTTCAAAGTCTTTTCCTCAATTGAGTACAATATCCAGTAGTTATTTTCAAACATCGAGTACAGAAAAATACGCAACAACTCCAGAGGAAAAGTCTACATTTTCGGAATCTAAACCGCAATCAAGTACAAAAATATTGGAATCATCCCCCCAATCGCCTACAATATCCAGTACTTCAGTTCCAATGTCCAGTACCGAAAAGGAAGAGAGAACTACAAAGGAAAAATCTACATTTTCGGAATCCCTACCGCAATCAAGCACAACTTTTTCAAAGTCTTTTCCTCAATTGAGTACAATATCCAGTAGTTATTTTCCAACATCGAGTACAGAAAAATACGAAACAACTCCAGAGGAAATGTCTACATTTTCGGAATCTAAACCGCAATCAAGTACAACATTATTGGAATCATCACCTCAATCGCCTACAACATCCAGTTCTTCAGTTCAAATGTCCAGTACCGAAAAGGAAAAGAGAACTACAGAGGAAAAATCTACATTTTCGGAATCTCAACCACAATCGAGTGCAACATTATTGGAATCATCACTTCAATCGCCAACAATATCCAGTACCTTAGTCCAAATGTCCAGTACCGAAAAGGAAGAGAGAACTACAGAGGAAAAATCTACAAAATTATTGGAATCATCACTTCAATCGCCTACAATATCCAGTACTTCAGCCCAAATGTCCAGTACCGAAAAGAAAGAGAGAACTACAGAGGAAAAATCTACATTTTCGGAATCCCCACCGCAATCAAGCACAACTGTTTCAAAGTCTTTTCCTCAATTGAGTACAATATCCAGTAGATATTTTCAAACATCGAGTACAGAAAAATACGCAACAAGTCCAGAGGAAAAGTCTACATTTTCGGAATCTCAACCGCAATCAAGTACAACATTATTGGAATCATCACCTCAATCGCCTACAATATCCAGTACCTTAGTCCAAATGTACAGTACCGAAAAGGAAGAGAGAACTACAAAGGAAAAATCTACATTTTCGGAATCCCCACCGCAATCAAGCACAACTGTTTCAAAGTCTTTTCCTCAATTGAGTACAATATCCAGTAGCTATTTTCCAACATCGAGTACAGAAAAATACGAAACAACTCCAGAGGAAATGTCTTCTTTTTCGGAATCTCAACCGCAATCAAGTACAACATTATTGGAATCATCACCTCAATCGCCTACAACATCCAGTACTTCAGTTCAAATGTCCAGTACCGAAAAGGAAGAGAGAACTACAGAGGAAAAATCTACATTTTCGGAATCCCCACCGCAATCAAGCACAACTGTTTCAAAGTCTTTTCCTCAATTGAGTACAATATCCAGTAGTTATTTTCAAACATCGAGTACAGAAAAATACGCAACAAGTCCAGAGGAAAAGTCTACATTTTCGGAATCTCAACCGCAATCAAGTACAACATTATTGGAATCATCACCTCAATCGCCTACAATATCCAGTACCTTAGTCCAAATGTACAGTACCGAAAAGGAAGAGAGAACTACAAAGGAAAAATCTACATTTTCGGAATCCCTACCGCAATCAAGCACAACTTTTTCAAAGTCTTTTCCTCAATTGAGTACAATATCCAGTAGTTATTTTCCAACATCGAGTACAGAAAAATACGAAACAACTCCAGAGGAAATGTCTTCTTTTTCGGAATCTCAACCGCAATCATTATTTGAATCATCACCTCAATCGCCTACAATATCCAGTACTTCAGTTCAGATATCCAGTACCGAAAAGGAAGAGAGAACTGCAGAGGAAAAATCTACATTTTCGGAATCTCAACGGCAATCAAGTACAAAATTATTGGAATCATCACCTCAATCGCCTACAATATCCAGTACTTCAGTCCAAATGTCCAGTACCGAAAAGGAAGGGAGAACTACAGAGGAAAAATCTACATTTTCGGAATCTCTACCGCAATCAAGCAGAACTGTTTCAAAGTCTTTTCCTCAATTGAGTACAATATCCAGTAGTTATTTTCCAACATCGAGTGCAGAAAAATACGAAACAACTCCAGAGGAAATGTCTACATTTTCGGAATCTAAACCGCAATCAAGTACAACATTATTGGAATCATCACCTCAATCGCCTACAACATCCAGTTCTTCAGTTCAAATGTCCAGTACCGAAAAGGAAAAGAGAACTACAGAGGAAAAATCTACATTTTCGGAATCTCTACCGCAATCAAGTACAACATTTTTGGAATCATCACCTCAATCGCCTACAATATCCAGTACTTCAGTTCAAATGTCCAGTACCGAAAAGGAAGAGAGAACTACAGAGGAAAAATCTACATTTTCGGAATCTCAACCGCAATCAAGTACAACATTATTTGAAACATCACCTCAATCGCCTACAATATCCAGTACTTCAGTCCAAATGTCCAGTACCGAAAAGGAAGGGAGAACTACAGAGGAAAAATCTACATTTTCGGAATCTCTACCGCAATCAAGCAGAACTGTTTCAAAGTCTTTTCCTCAATTGAGTACAATATCCAGTAGTTATTTTCCAACATCGAGTACAGAAAAATACGAAACAACTCCAGAGGAAATGTCTACATTTTCGGAATCTAAACCGCAATCAAGTACAACATTATTGGAATCATCACCTCAATCGCCTACAACATCCAGTTCTTCAGTTCAAATGTCCAGTACCGAAAAGGAAAAGAGAACTACAGAGGAAAAATCTACATTTTCGGAATCTCTACCGCAATCAAGTACAACATTTTTGCAATCATACCCTCAATCGCCTACAATATCCAGTACTTCAGTTCAAATGTCCAGTACCGAAAAGGAAGAGAGAACTACAGAGGAAAAATCTACATTTTCGAAATCTCTACCGCAATCAAGCACAACTGTTTCAAAGTCTTTTCCTCAATTGAGTACAATATCCAGTACTTATTTTCAAAGATCGAGTACAGAAAAATACGCAACAACTCCAGAGGAAAAGTCTACATTTTCGGAATCTAAACCGCAATCAAGTACAACATTATTGGAATCATCCCCCCAATCGCCTACAATATCCAGTACTTCAGTTCCAATGTCCAGTACCGAAAAGGAAGAGAGATCTACAGAGCAAAAATCTACATTTTCGGAATCTCAACCACAATCGAGTGCAACATTATTGGAATCATCACTTCAATCGCCAACAATATCCGGTACCTTAGTCCAAATGTCCAGTACCGAAAAGGAAGAGAGAACTACAGAGGAAAAATCTACATTTTCGGAATCCCCACCGCAATCAAGCACAACTTTTTCAAAGTCTTTTCCTCAATTGAGTACAATATCCAGTAGTTATTTTCAAACATCGAGTACAGAAAAATACGCAACAAGTCCAGAAGAAAATTCTACATTTTCGGAATCTCAACAGCAATCAAGTACAACATTATTGGAATCATCACCTCAATCGCCTACAATATCTAGTACCTTAGTCCAAATGTACAGTACCGAAAAGAAAGAGAGAACTACAAAGGAAAAATCTACATTTTCGGAATCCCTACCGCAATCAAGCACAACTTTTTCAAAAACTTTTCCTCAATTGAGTACAATATCCAGTAATTATTTTTCAACATCGAGTACAGAAAAATACGAAACAACTCCAGAGAAAATGTCTACATTTTCGGAGTCTCAACCGCAATCATTATTTGAATCATCACCTCAATCGCCTACAATATCCAGTACTTCAGTTCAAATATCCAGTACCGAAAAGGAAGAGAGAACTGCAGAAGAAAAATCTACATTTTCGGAATCTCAACGGCAATCAAGTACAAAATTATTTGAATCATCACCTCAATCGCCTACAATATCCAGTACTTCAGTCCAAATGTCCAGTACCGAAAAGGAAGGGAGAACTACAGAGGAAAAATCTACATTTTCGGAATCTCTACCGCAATCAAGCAGAACTGTTTCAAAGTCTTTTCCTCAATTGAGTACAATATCCAGTAGTTATTTTCCAACATCGAGTACAGAAAAATACGAAACAACTCCAGAGGAAATGTCTACATTTTCGGAATCTAAACCGCAATCAAGTACAACATTATTGGAATCATCACCTCAATCGCCTACAACATCCAGTTCTTCAGTTCAAATGTCCAGTACCGAAAAGGAAAAGAGAACTACAGAGGAAAAATCTACATTTTCGGAATCTCTACCGCAATCAAGCACAACTGTTTCAAAGTCTTTTCCTCAATTGAGTACAATATCCAGTAGTTATTTTCAAACATCGAGTACAGAAAAATACGCAACAAGTCCAGAGGAAAAGTCTACATTTTCGGAATCTCAACCGCAATCAAGTACAACATTATTGGAATCATCACCTCAATCGCCTACAATATCCAGTACCTTAGTCCAAATGTACAGTACCGAAAAGGATGAGAGAACTACAAAGGAAAAATCTACATTTTCGGAATCCCTATCGCAATCAAGCACAACTTTTTCAAAGTCTTTTCCTCAATTGAGTACAATATCCAGTAGTTATTTTCCAACATCGAGTACAGAAAAATACGAAACAACTCCAGAGGAAATGTCTACATTTTCGGAATCTAAACCGCAATCAAGTACAACATTATTGGAATCATCACCTCAATCGCCTACAACATCCAGTTCTTCAGTTCAAATGTCCAGTACCGAAAAGGAAAAGAGAACTACAGAGGAAAAATCTACATTTTCGGAATCTCTACCGCAATCAAGTACAACATTTTTGGAATCATCACCTCAATCGCCTACAATATCCAGTACTTCAGTTCAAATGTCCAGTACCGAAAAGGAAGAGAGAACTACAGAGGAAAAATCTACATTTTCGGAATCTCAACCGCAATCAAGTACAAAATTATTTGAATCATCAGCTCAATCGCGTACAATATCCAGTACTTCAGTTCAAATGTCCAGTACCGAAAAGGAAAAGAGAACTACAGAGGAAAAATCTACATTTTCGAAATCTCTACCGCAATCAAGCACAACTGTTTCAAAGTCTTTTCCTCAATTGAGTACAATATCCAGTAGTTATTTTCAAACATCGAGTACAGAAAAATACGCAACAACTCCAGAGGAAAAGTCTACATTTTCGGAATCTAAACCGCAATCAAGTACAACAATATTGGAATCATCCCCCCAATCGCCAACAATATCCAGTACTTCAGTTCCAATGTCCAGTACCGAAAAGGAAGAGAGAACTACAAAGGAAAAATCTACATTTTCGGAATCCCTACCGCAATCAAGCACAACTTTTTCAAAGTCTTTTCCTCAATTGAGTACAATATCCAGTAGTTATTTTCCAACATCGAGTACAGAAAAAAAAAAAACAACTCCAGAGGAAATGTCTACATTTTCGGAATCTAAACCGCAATCAAGTACAACATTATTGGAATCATCACCTCAATCGCCTACAACATCCAGTTCTTCAGTTCAAATGTCCAGTACCGAAAAGGAAAAGAGAACTACAGAGGAAAAATCTACATTTTCGGAATCTCAACCACAATCGAGTGCAACATTATTGGAATCATCACTTCAATCGCCAACAATATCCAGTACCTTAGTCCAAATGTCCAGTACCGAAAAGGAAGAGAGAACTACAGAGGAAAAATCTACAAAATTATTGGAATCATCACTTCAATCGCCTACAATATCCAGTACTTCAGCCCAAATGTCCAGTACCGAAAAGGAAGAGAGAACTACAAAGGAAAAATCTACATTTTCGGAATCCCTACCGCAATCAAGCACAACTGTTTCAAAGTCTTTTCCTCAATTGAGTACAATATCCAGTAGTTATTTTCCAACATCGAGTACAGAAAAATACGAAACAACTCCAGAGGAAATGTCTACATTTTCGGAATCTAAACCGCAATCAAGTACAACATTATTGGAATCATCACCTCAATCGCCTACAACATCCAGTTCTTCAGTTCAAATGTCCAGTACCGAAAAGGAAAAGAGAACTACAGAGGAAAAATCTACATTTTCGGAATCTCTACCGCAATCAAGCACAACTGTTTCAAAGTCTTTTCCTCAATTGAGTACAATATCCAGTAGTTATTTTCAAACATCGAGTACAGAAAAATACGAAACAAGTCCAGAGGAAAAGTCTACATTTTCGGAATCTCAACCGCAATCAAGTACAACATTATTGGAATCATCACCTCAATCGCCTACAATATCCAGTACCTTAGTCCAAATGTACAGTACCGAAAAGGAAGAGAGAACTACAAAGGAAAAATCTACATTTTCGGAATCCCCACCGCAATCAAGCACAACTGTTTCAAAGTCTTTTCCTCAATTGAGTACAATATCCAGTAGTTATTTTCCAACATCGAGTACAGAAAAATACGAAACAACTCCAGAGGAAATGTCTTCTTTTTCGGAATCTCAACCGCAATCAAGTACAACATTATTGGAATCATCACCTCAATCGCCTACAACATCCAGTACTTCAGTTCAAATGTCCAGTACCGAAAAGGAAGAGAGAACTACAGAGGAAAAATCTACATTTTCGGAATCCCCACCGCAATCAAGCACAACTGTTTCAAAGTCTTTTCCTCAATTGAGTACAATATCCAGTAGTTATTTTCAAACATCGAGTACAGAAAAATACGCAACAAGTCCAGAGGAAAAGTCTACATTTTCGGAATCTCAACCGCAATCAAGTACAACATTATTGGAATCATCACCTCAATCGCCTACAATATCCAGTACCTTAGTCCAAATGTACAGTACCGAAAAGGAAGAGAGAACTACAAAGGAAAAATCTACATTTTCGGAATCCCTACCGCAATCAAGCACAACTTTTTCAAAGTCTTTTCCTCAATTGAGTACAATATCCAGTAGTTATTTTCCAACATCGAGTACAGAAAAATACGAAACAACTCCAGAGGAAATGTCTTCTTTTTCGGAATCTCAACCGCAATCATTATTTGAATCATCACCTCAATCGCCTACAATATCCAGTACTTCAGTTCAGATATCCAGTACCGAAAAGGAAGAGAGAACTGCAGAGGAAAAATCTACATTTTCGGAATCTCAACGGCAATCAAGTACAAAATTATTGGAATCATCACCTCAATCGCCTACAATATCCAGTACTTCAGTCCAAATGTCCAGTACCGAAAAGGAAGGGAGAACTACAGAGGAAAAATCTACATTTTCGGAATCTCTACCGCAATCAAGCAGAACTGTTTCAAAGTCTTTTCCTCAATTGAGTACAATATCCAGTAGTTATTTTCCAACATCGAGTGCAGAAAAATACGAAACAACTCCAGAGGAAATGTCTACATTTTCGGAATCTAAACCGCAATCAAGTACAACATTATTGGAATCATCACCTCAATCGCCTACAACATCCAGTTCTTCAGTTCAAATGTCCAGTACCGAAAAGGAAAAGAGAACTACAGAGGAAAAATCTACATTTTCGGAATCTCTACCGCAATCAAGTACAACATTTTTGGAATCATCACCTCAATCGCCTACAATATCCAGTACTTCAGTTCAAATGTCCAGTACCGAAAAGGAAGAGAGAACTACAGAGGAAAAATCTACATTTTCGGAATTTCAACCGCAATCAAGTACAACATTATTTGAAACATCACCTCAATCGCCTACAATATCCAGTACTTCAGTTCAAATGTCCAGTACCGAAAGGAAGGGAGAACTACAGAGGAAAAATCTACATTTTCGGAATCTCTACCGCAATCAAGCAGAACTGTTTCAAAGTCTTTTCCTCAATTGAGTACAATATCCAGTAGTTATTTTCCAACATCGAGTACAGAAAAATACGCAAAAACTCCAGAGGAAAAGTCTACATTTTCGGAATCTAAACCGCAATCAAGTACAACATTATTGGAATCATCCCCCCAATCGCCTACAATATCCAGTACTTCAGTTCCAATGTCCAGTACCGAAAAGGAAGAGAGATCTACAGAGGAAAAAGCTACATTTTCGGAATCCCCACCGCAATCAAGCACAACTTTTTCAAAGTCTTTTCCTCAATTGAGTACAATATCCAGTAGTTATTTTCAAACATCGAGTACAGAAAAATACGCAACAAGTCCAGAAGAAAATTCTACATTTTCGGAATCTCAACCGCAATCAAGTACAACATTATTGGAATCATCACCTCAATCGCCTACAATATCTAGTACCTTAGTCCAAATGTACAGTACCGAAAAGGAAGAGAGAACTACAAAGGAAAAATCTACATTTTCGGAATCCCTACCGCAATCAAGCACAACTTTTTCAAAAACTTTTCCTCAATTGAGTACAATATCCAGTAATTATTTTTCAACATCGAGTACAGAAAAATACGAAACAACTCCAGAGAAAATGTCTACATTTTCGGAGTCTCAACCGCAATCATTATTTGAATCATCACCTCAATCGCCTACAATATCCAGTACTTCAGTTCAAATATCCAGTACCGAAAAGGAAGAGAGAACTGCAGAAGAAAAATCTACATTTTCGGAATCTCAACGGCAATCAAGTACAAAATTATTTGAATCATCACCTCAATCGCCTACAATATCCAGTACTTCAGTCCAAATGTCCAGTACCGAAAAGGAAGGGAGAACTACAGAGGAAAAATCTACATTTTCGGAATCTCTACCGCAATCAAGCACAACTGTTTCAAAGTCTTTTCCTCAATTGAGTACAATATCCAGTAGTTATTTTCAAACATCGAGTACAGAAAAATACGCAACAACTCCAGAGGAAAAGTCTACATTTTCGGAATCTAAGCCGCAATCAAGTACAACAATATTGGAATCATCCCCCCAATCGCCTACAATATCCAGTACTTCAGTTCCAATGTCCAGTACCGAAAAGGAAGAGAGAACTACAAAGGAAAAATCTACATTTTCGGAATCCCTACCGCAATCAAGCACAACTTTTTCAAAGTCTTTTCCTCAATTGAGTACAATATCCAGTAGTTATTTTCCAACATCGAGTACAGAAAAATACGAAACAACTCCAGAGGAAATGTCTACATTTTCGGAATCTAAACCGCAATCAAGTACAACATTATTGGAATCATCACCTCAATCGCCTACAACATCCAGTTCTTCAGTTCAAATGTCCAGTACCGAAAAGGAAAAGAGAACTACAGAGGAAAAATCTACATTTTCGGAATCTCAACCACAATCGAGTGCAACATTATTGGAATCATCACTTCAATCGCCAACAATATCCAGTACCTTAGTCCAAATGTCCAGTACCGAAAAGGAAGAGAGAACTACAGAGGAAAAATCTACAAAATTATTGGAATCATCACTTCAATCGCCTACAATATCCAGTACTTCAGCCCAAATGTCCAGTACCGAAAAGGAAGAGAGAACTACAGAGGAAAAATCTACATTTTCGGAATCTCTACCGCAATCAAGCACAACTGTTTCAAAGTCTTTTCCTCAATTGAGTACAATATCCAGTAGATATTTTCAAACATCGAGTACAGAAAAATACGCAACAAGTCCAGAGGAAAAGTCTACATTTTCGGAATCTCAACCGCAATCAAGTACAACATTATTGGAATCATCACCTCAATCGCCTACAATATCCAGTACTTCAGTTCAAATGTCCAGTACCGAAAAGGAAGGGAGAACTACAGAGGAAAAATCTACATTTTCGGAATCTCTACCGCAATCAAGCAGAACTGTTTCAAAGTCTTTTCCTCAATTGAGTACAATATCCAGTAGTTATTTTCCAACATCGAGTACAGAAAAATACGAAACAACTCCAGAGGAAATGTCTACATTTTCGGAATCTAAACCGCAATCAAGTACAACATTATTGGAATCATCACCTCAATCGCCAACAACATCCAGTTCTTCAGTTCAAATGTCCAGTACCGAAAAGGAAAAGAGAACTACAGAGGAAAAATCTACATTTTCGGAATCTAAACCGCAATCAAGTACAACATTATTGGAATCATCACCTCAATCGCCTACAACATCCAGTTCTTCAGTTCAAATGTCCAGTACCGAAAAGGAAAAGAGAACTACAGAGGAAAAATCTACATTTTCGGAATCTCAACCGCAATCAAGCACAACTGTTTCAAAGTCTTTTCCTCAATTGAGTACAATATCCAGTAGTTATTTTCAAACATCGAGTACAGAAAAATACGCAACAACTCCAGAGGAAAATTCTACATTTTCGGAATCTAAACCGCAATCAAGTACAACAATATTGGAATCATCACCTCAATCGCCAACAACATCCAGTTCTTCAGTTCAAATGTCCAGTACCGAAAAGGAAAAGAGAACTACAGAGGAAAAATCTACATTTTCGGAATCTCTACCGCAATCAAGTACAACATTTTTGGAATCATCACCTCAATCGCCTACAATATCCAGTACTTCAGTTCAAATGTCCAGTACCGAAAAGGAAGAGAGAACTACAGAGGAAAAATCTACATTTTCGGAATCTCAACCGCAATCAAGTACAAAATTATTTGAATCATCAGCTCAATCGCGTACAATATCCAGTACTTCAGTTCAAATGTCCAGTACCGAAAAGGAAAAGAGAACTACAGAGGAAAAATCTACATTTTCGAAATCTCTACCGCAATCAAGCACAACTGTTTCAAAGTCTTTTCCTCAATTGAGTACAATATCCAGTAGTTATTTTCAAACATCGAGTACAGAAAAATACGCAACAACTCCAGAGGAAAAGTCTACATTTTCGGAATCTAAACCGCAATCAAGTACAACAATATTGGAATCATCCCCCCAATCGCCAACAATATCCAGTACTTCAGTTCCAATGTCCAGTACCGAAAAGGAAGAGAGAACTACAAAGGAAAAATCTACATTTTCGGAATCCCTACCGCAATCAAGCACAACTTTTTCAAAGTCTTTTCCTCAATTGAGTACAATATCCAGTAGTTATTTTCCAACATCGAGTACAGAAAAAAAAAAAACAACTCCAGAGGAAATGTCTACATTTTCGGAATCTAAACCGCAATCAAGTACAACATTATTGGAATCATCACCTCAATCGCCTACAACATCCAGTTCTTCAGTTCAAATGTCCAGTACCGAAAAGGAAAAGAGAACTACAGAGGAAAAATCTACATTTTCGGAA